TTTTTCTGCACTATCTGCCATAAAAAAGCTGAGCGCGGTCAGGCCGCCCGCTGTGATCAGCGCGCCCCCCGCCTCGAACGCTGTAAACACGGTGTTGTGTTCCCAGTATGCCCGGGCTCTCGAGTTGCCGTTTTGCCGCGACCAGAGCCCGGATTTCATTCTGCCCCTAGCTATTCATGCAGATGCGTGGTCAAAGCTTCCCGGGGTATCAGAATGGGTGCTGAACACTATAAAGAGAGGCTATTCGCTACAATTCGCTCGACGCCCACGCCGCTATACGGCGCGCGTCGAAACTACGGTGAAAAACGAAGTGTCTCATCTACTTCGTGCCGAGATAGCGAAACTACTGAGCAAAGGGGCTATAGAACCTTTATCTCAGGCTCAGAGCGAAGGGGGCCTATACAGCAGATATTTTCTGGTACCGAAAAAGGATGGGGGTCTCAGACCCATTTTAGATCTGCGACAGCTGAACAGAGCGCTTGTTAAACGCCAGTTCAGAATGCTTACGACCAGGAAAATCCTCGCGCAAGTGCGCCACGGGGACTGGTTTATGTCAATAGATCTGAAAGACGCCTATTTCCAGATACAAATAGCGTCCCATCACAGGCGATTTTTGAGATTCGCCTTCGAGGGCCAGGCATATCAATACACAGTCCTGCCGTTCGGCCTGTCCCTAGCACCTCGTACATTTACGAAGTGCATGGACGCGGCGCTCGCACCCCTGAGACTTCAGGGCATGCGAGTCCTGAACTACTTGGACGATTGGCTGATTCTAGCTCGATCACGATCGGAGCTCATAGAACACAGGGCCGCATTACTCTAGCACCTCGAGGAGCTGGGCCTCACAGTCAATTGGGCGAAGAGCTCACTGTCTCCCAGTCGGAAAATTTCCTTTCTGGGAACCGTGTTGGACTCGCTGTCCATGACAGCACGCCTGTCACCAGAGCGCGTACTGAGTATTCAGCGCGGCGTGAAATCCTTCCGCCACGGCGCGATAGTTCCGCTCAAAAGGTTTCAGAAAGTGCTGGGGCTGATGGCCTCAGCAGCCTCTGTACTCCAGTTGGGCTTGCTCCGCATGCGCCCACTGCAGATGTGGCTGAAAGCGCGGGTTCCACCCAGGGCATGGACAGCGGGTCTGTTTCGCCTCAGGGTCGACCTTCAGTGCGTTTCAGCTCTGGAACCTTGGAAAGTGACCGACTGGTATCAGTCAGGTGTGAGTCTGGGGACCGCTTCGAGTATGAAGGTGGTGTCTACGGACGCCTCCACCTCGGGGTGGGGAGCGCTGCTCGAGGGCAGACCGCTAGCTGGCCTGTGGTCAGAACGGGAAAAGCTTCTTCACATAAACTGCTTGGAGATGATAGCAGTCGACAAAGCGCTACGGCTTTTTTGTCCCCAGATAACAGGCCACCACGTCTTAGTCCGGTCGGACAACATGTCAGTGGTGGCATACATAAATCGCCAGGGCGGCGTCAGGTCACGAAGCCTTCTCAGGCTGACGGAACGCCTTCTGGTCTGGGCTCAGCACAGCCTGCTCTCACTGAGAGCGGCGCACGTGCCTGGTCACCTGAATGTGGGACCAGACAGACTGTCCAGGAACAAGGTCCCGGCAGGGGAATGGTCGCTGCACCCGCAGACGGTCCAGCTGCTGTGGAAAACGTTCGGCAGAGCACAAGTGGACCTGTTCGCGTCCCACGAAAACGCTCATTGCCCGGAGTTTTTCTCGAAAAGCAAGGACGCGCTGGCTCATGTTTGGCCCCGCTGCCCCCTATATGCTTTTCCTCCCGTCTCGCTCCTGCCTCAGGTGTTGGAACGAATCAGGGAGAACGGATGCCCAGTGCTGCTCGTAGCTCCGCTCTGGACAAACCAGACGTGGTTCCCTGCCCTGATGCAGCTGACCAGCACTGCCCCATGGCCTGTACCATTGAGGAGAGACCTCCTCTCTCAGGCGGAGGGCTCGATTTGGCACCCTCGCCCGGAGTTGTGGTCCCTGCACGCATGGGCCATCAACGGGTACCCGCTAGCCTCCCAGAAGGAGTGTTAAACACGATCGCGCAGGCTAGAGCTCCGTCTACCAGGCGGCTCTACTCCTCGAAATGGTCTGTTTTCTCTGCATGGTGTCAAGCCCAGAGCTTTTCACCTGTGGAGTGCGGGGTTTCGGAAGTGCTTTCCTTCCTTCAAGAGCTACTGGATAAGGGCAGGACCCCATCCACGCTCAAAGTGTATGTGGCGGCCATAGCAACATTTGCAAAACCGGTGTCTGGCCAGTCGCTGGGGAAAAACGACTTAGTCGTGCGTTTCCTTAGGGGAGCTCGGAGGCTGAACCCTCCCAGGCCCCCTTCAGTCCCGACGTGGGACCTTTCCACGGTCCTGGAGGCCATGAAAGGCGCCCCGTTCGAGCCAATCCAGCTGATGGACATGAAACACCTGTCGTTCAAAACAGTGTTTCTCATGGCTCTCGCTTCAGTGAAGCGCATAGGGGACTTACAGGCGCTTTCAGTAAGCGCGTCGTGTATGGAGTTTGGGCCTAATGACTCGAAGGTCATTCTCAAACCAAAGCACGGGTATGTCCCGAAATCCCTCAATACACCGTTCAGGGCCCAGGTAATTTCCCTGTCCGCCCTTCCGGTTCTCAGTGAGGAGGATGATGCGAGTCTCCTTTGCCCCGTCAGGGCATTGAGAGCTTATGTGTCACGCTCGTCTGTTTTCAGACAGACGGAGCAGCTTTTTGTTTTGTTTGGCGGGCGTTCCAAGGGACTCGCCGCCTCAAAACAGAGCCTATCCAGATGGATAGTGGATGCCATTGCGCTCGCTTACTCTGCGAAGGGCCTACAGTGCCCTTTGGGTGTCAGGGCGCACTCCACGAGAGGCGTGGCCTCTTCGTGGGCGTGGTCGAGCGGGGTTTCCCTGCAAGATATCTGTACGGCCGCGGGCTGGGCCTCGCCGTCTACATTTATAAAAAACTATAACCTGGAGGTACCCGCCTTACAAGCTAAGCTTTTGGCGGTTTAAAATTCAGTGCTATCTGCCCCGCTTTGCGGCCCAGATGCTGAGTTTACTGCAGCCCCATGAGTGTTGACACACGTATGGCTACCCAGATCAGGCTGAAAGCTTTCACCCTGGCTGCGCGTTTTGTTGTCATATAATAGCCCCGCTGGGTGCTTTTTTATAAGGAATGACGCTTCCAGCCTCTCTTCCTCCACTCTATGTGAGTTTATGGTGATTATGCACTACATGAGCCCTGGGCTTCGGCCCCCGGGACTTTGGTGTTGGATCCCTGTACGCACGGCGTGTTGCATTGTGTTCCCCTAGCGTAAGCTATTACGCAGTACGAGAGATACTCTCGTAAGAGAACGTACTCGGTTACTAACGTAACCTCTGTTCTCTCTAGAGAGGGAACGAGTACTGCGTATCTTGCCGTGCTTGGAATACGCTCTGGTTCGCTTCAGCGGTAAAAACCAGTTTGTATCAGCCTAACGAGCATATTTATAGGGTGAGACCACGCCCCTTCTGGCGGGACGTGACGATATGGGCGCGAATGGCCCCCATTGGTCATTACGTCACGCAGAGTCTCTCTCGATAGGCTGCTGCATTTGCTGCAGAGCAGCCAATAGGCGCGCGAGCTGTTTCGCCTATGTCTGCTTGCTGCTGCAAAGCGTTTTACATTATTAAAAAATTAAGGATAATTTTTGGCTTCAATATCTCGCGGAAAAGAGTTTTTCCCCTAGCGTAAGCTATTACGCAGTACTCATTCCCTCTCTAGAGAGAACAGAGGTTACGTTAGTAACCGAGTACGTTTTATTAGTTCACTTTCAAAAAAAATAAAATAATAATAATTCTGATAATTTACTCACCCTGATGTCATCAAATATATCCATGTCTTTCTTTCTTCAGTCGAAAATAAATTAAGGTTTTTGAGGAAAACATTCCAGGATTTGACACAGAATGGACTTCAATGGTAACCAAATATTCAAATGTTCAAAGAAGGTTCAAATGTCCGTCTCAATGTAGCTTCAAAGTCTCGACACAATCCCAGTCGAGAAAAAAGGGTCTTATCTAGTGAAACGATCGGTCATTTTCTAAAAAATAAATAAATATATATATATACATTTGAAACTTTTGAAACTTCTTTGAACATTTGAATAGTTTGTTGCCATTGAAGTCCATTCTGTGTATAAAAAATGTAAGAAAGAGAGACATGGATATCTTGGATGACATCAGGGTAAGTTTGAAAGTGAGCTAATACTTCAATACTTTAAGATATATGCTGGACATGAATATTAAATTAGCATTATTTTCCTACGTTTTTACATCAAGAAAATCTATATGGCTTTTGTACGTAGGACATACAGTATATGACATATATGATTAAAAATACATTAATATTATGCAATTTATATATGTGGATTTTGCAGCATATGTCCCTTACAATATTCTGTTGGAACATATATGAATCACAGGTGTTTTTAGCAAACCTTTTCCATATGGGTTAGTACATGATTATTCATGTACTATTATTGTAAAGTGTTACCCATATTTTTAATAAATAAACAAGTGATCAAATAAATATATAAATAAATACTCAAACCTGAAAAGTTGTGTGGCTCCCTGTTTTCATTTGATTATCATTGTACACTTAGCAGGTTAGTTGTAACACTGTGTAAGCCCCGCGCTCCTACATCAGGTAAATTAGGACACTTTTTTGGCACTGAGATAACTCAAATTATCTAATGTTCCAATTATCTTGAATTAGCCCTAACATAATAAGCACATATAAAAACAACTATAACCTGGCATTTTGTTGACGGTGATTTTTTTAACAACCTGAACAACCACACACACACGCACACGCGCACACACTTAAAACATCTGAGCCAATGTAGACACACACCGCTGGTTACACCTTTTTTTCTTAGGTAACCCGACAGTCTCCGGACTTCTTCTTAGCGCATGGACGTTACGCGCTGCTGAAGAGCGCTTTGAAGTGAAACTTATAATACAAATTAACAGCGACTTTATAAAGTCCATAAACCAACCAAGATGAATGAAAAGGACATTGAACAAGGTGGAGTCGCCGTGATGCCGAAAACAGATCTGGTAGGTCTGTCAGAAAGTTGATTACAGCATCTAATGCTACAACAGGAGCACCTTTTTGCATTTGTTTGTCTATCCTCGTTACAAACACGCTTTAGCTGTTTGCTTGTCATATATAATGTTCTTAAAGATTCAGTATTTTAAAGCATTCAGTATCGCTAAGATTCAGTGTTGGCTATGAGCAAACAACATACCATGGGTTAAAACAAGACTGTGCACGTGTGTTTGTCATGTGCGTCTTCTGTCGTATGGTCTCACTTTACTAACTACAGTGTTCATGTATTAAAGTGCAACTACATTTTTTAAACGAACAAAAATTATTTTATGGAAGTAAGTCTGATTTACAGTCACCCTGTAGCAACCTGAGGTTCATCTAAATGATCATCAAATCAAACATTATCATTTCAGTCAAAGTTGCATTCAAATTATTATACGGGTTTTATGCAAATTCCTCTGGAGAACTGTTCAGTAATAGTTAATTGTACTGTGCATCAATAAAGTTTGTGCTTTGGTGTTTCAGTGTACCAAACAATGTAACAGGGAAACTAAACACAAAAATTAAAACACTAATTTTTAATTAAAACAGCCTTGCTTTCCTGATGAAAGGGATGGGTGGTGTAGAAAGTTTGTATTTGTTGGTATGAGTTAATGATCACACAGAATGTAAATAACTGCATTTAATCCAAACATTAGATAACTGCCAGCCGATACAGACCAGGGGGCCTTTCTCAATCTGTGTTCTTGTCTGTACTCGTGTTCTTGTGAAACTTCATCTTTTGTTGCCTAAGGCTACTGTCCCAATACACAAATTTACATTTTTGCAAGAACGGTTAAAATCCTGGAATGCCTGAAAATCCTGTTCTTGACACGCCCATTTTACCAAGGAAGCATCGGTTGGTAACTTGTGTGAACTTGACGGCAGAAATATCCCAGCATTCATTTTGGCATTCTAGGGAGAAGCAGGTCAATACAGTAATTAGTTTTTCTACAATTTCCCCCCCGCTATTTCATCACTAAATTCACTTCTGAGAACATTTGATGCGAGAAATCAACTGTGTAGATTTCAAATATTGACATTTTTACGAAAATTTATGGCAAATCGAAAATGTGCTCAAATGTTTTCGGAAGTGAGAATCTTCATAAGCGCCTGCGGGTGTTAAGTTAGCTAGCGAGCCAACCGGCCAGTCTGCTCACAGACTCGTTTTACCCCACAGTCAAGAGACCATTGCAGCCTGGCTGTGATCGTCAATAATTCTCGTTATGCTTGGGTACTGCAGACGGTGTCTGTGCAGGGGTATTATTGCACAATACCAGCAAGAACACATCGTCTCAAGCTGTCAGCAGCGTTCTGTGTGCTCGTCACCTTGTGAGTTCATTCTTCCAAGAACAACTAGCAAGAGCATTCTCCCCAAGAACACAAGTCCGTTCTTTGCATTCTTGGTTTTGAGAAACACCCCAGATATAAGTGAACAAGGCCACCGGGCATTCTGACTTGATGAGACGACACACTAAGGTCCTGCTCTCCACGCTGATCTGGGGGACGTCTGGACTCATTTTCACAACCCCCATGTCCATGCATGCACGCACATCCTGGCAGTGGTTGCACTGCTCTGTCCACAATAAAAAACGCCAATGAGTGGTTTAAGCAGCACCGCAGTGTGGCGATGCCACTGGTCTCGATTCTGGTGCCTCCATAAGCAACAAGGCTAGCTGCTTTACAAGTTGTTCGCTGCCATTAAGTCTTCTGAAGGTGTCAAGTGACATCACATTGCATTTTGCTCCTGTGTACACTTTCATCTCAGTGGGCTTGCCGTTTATATGCATTGTGACAAATCCTTCATCCTTTTCAATGGCTTTTAGATTCACACAATCTGCATGACTGTCAACTTCAACGGCGTCCAAATAAAACGTTCCATCTTCACATGTTTGTTCCTCTATTTCTATCTCATTAACGGTCTGTCTGCCAGTTTTCTGTCCAGGATGTTGCCTATCTTGTCTGCACGGTTTAAACTTTTAGCTGCGTGGCTGTCTCCACAATTATTACACCTCATGATAGTCTGTGAGGGGGGCTGGGGCTTTGGCCACTGCATTCTGTTTGAAACTAGTTTAACTGCATTCACACTGGCAGAGTTACTTTGTGATGCTAACGTCTTGCTACTTTCCTCGGTCATCTCGTGTATCCGACAGATTGAAATGGCTTTGGCAAGTGTTAGCTCGCTATCTCTTAACAGAGCTTTTCTCAACGTGTCACTGGTAACGCCACACACGATGCGGTCGCGGATTAGCTCCTCTGTTAGGTCTCCAAAGTGGCAGCCTTTAGCCTTAATCCTTAAAACACTAATGAATGATTCGATGCATTCGGGGTCCTCTCGAGATTCAGCAGGGGTGATGATCCTTCCGCCATCTCCTGGCGTGCGCACTTCAGCAGCGTAGGCAAAAGAACGCTCTCGTTCGATGGCGTCTGGCCCAGCAATGTTGAGAAGGATATAAGCTTGGGTTTTTGTTGACTTGTCCGAATGTGCGGCAGCAATAAAAATATCGCACTCCCTCTCAAAAATACGCCAATTCTCTGCAATATTTTCATCAAAAACGAAAGGGTCGGGTCTGCGATATCCATCCGCCATCACGTTGGGAAGAGGAAAACAACGTTGTCAACTGGGTATAGCTATGCTAGCACAGTCCAATGCAACAGGTTTTTCAACGACGACAGAAAAGAAAAACACTTCGTATTCGCTTCTGACACCATGTAGAAAATTTGTATTTGTTGGTATGAGTCAATAATCACACGGCATGTAAATGACTGCATTTAATCTGAACATTAGATAACTGCCAGCCGATACAGACCAGATATAAGTGAACAAGGCCACTGGGCATTCTGACTGGATGAGACGACACACTACGGTGGCTCGTAATAAACAAACTGCTTAATCATTTAACCAAACGCCTACAGGGGGGGATATAATGATGAAATTAACAGTTAAAGGAGGAGTTAAAGTGAGCTGTTTACCCTAGCGTTGTGGTTTTCTCATTCTGACCTTCCTTGCTCAAAATCATTAGATAAGATAAAGTGTTACAAGCTTTGAAATTGCATTCAGTATTTTTCCCTCAATAGATCACATGATCAGCTTAATATACTTAATCTTGCTAACTTAGTGACATTGTCACCGTAAGCCCAAGACCACTGTTGTACTAGCAACATTGATTGATGTTTTTAGTGCATTCATTAAAAATTATTTCTTTTATTGATTTTAGAGTTGGATTCCAAATTTCTTTAAAAAGAGAGTGTGCACAACATTTGTGGAGGACTCTTTCAGGTAAGATGTCTGACTTGGTGAGTATTCAGTTTGTCTTGTTAGATTCCTTCTGATCCGTCTGTTGTTTTGTAGCAATGGTGGTCTGTGTCAGTGTGGGTCCACGCGAGACACACACCCCTCAGTGGCCCTGGGCGATAACTTCAGCACAGCCACGGTCAGTCACTGGGACAGCACACAGCACTCCTCCGAACAGCCCACAGACGCCTATGGAGAGCTGGAGTTTGCTGGGACCGCCAAGAGACACAGCTATGTGAGTACCTCTCCATTGTGGATGGGCTGTATATGAGCTGTATGAGCTATAGAGTTATAGATATTAGTGATCTGGAACACATGGAAAATAGAGATTATAGAGAATACACTTTGGTAAACAAGCAAACCAACTTTCCAATAGCGTCTGCAGACTTGCACTTGGACTCTCAGACTTGCACGCTCAGTTCCCTGCGCTTCCTCTGCAAGTGATGTCAGTTTCGTCACTGACGAAAACTATTCACACATTCAGTGAAACAGAAGTCTATGCAAACCAAATTGTGAATAATTTTTTCATTGCTTTCGCACAAAATGAATTCAATGACCACATTTCCTAAAATCCATGAACACTTTTGTCAAACACTATATATTCTCAGCACATTTTTGAATGCTAACACACTGCTTTCGAAACTGATATAGGCACGTTCAAATCGGAATGATGGCAAACTCCGTGCATTTTTACAGGAATTATATTGAAATAAAAAATAATTGCAGAATATTTACAATGAAAGTAAATAATAATTAATACAAACACAACTAATTGCAATTTCATCTGAAAGACAACCCAGGTGTCCTATTTTTAGTCTCTATTACAGTAGTCATATTTGGTAAATCGTGATGGCTTCAGAATGATTTTGTTTGGAAACATGGATCAAGGAAGACACATTGGTGAGGAAAGAAGAGTAGCCCATCCATCCATCCATCCATCCATCCATCCAAAGCACTTGTCATCAGAGGTGTAGTGGTAAAAAAAGAGGTGGGTAAACTATAAATTCTGGTGGACCACGACGTGGTCACCCGGTAAGGTGGGCCACCTACCCGTGTATGTGTATCCTGATGACATTGCTATAGGGAGGGCTCGACATTAAGCCTTTTCATACGCTTGTCCTTCGGACAAGTAAATCTGTCATTCACTTGTCCGAGTAAAAAAGTTTTTTTTTTTTTTTTTTTTTTTTTTTTTCTGAAACAATATTCTCATCAGTGTTCAATCAGCTTTGATATTTAAATCGGCATATTGTAATATCTGCACCTTTTAAAGGGCATCCCCTCCCCCAATATTATTAAATGTATGCTTCATCTTTCATTTTAAATTTCTAAATTTGATCAATAAATTCAATTATTTCAAATAATAAGACACTATACACAAGTTTACGCGCCAAATCATGGGCGCCGCCATAACTCTACTTAAATGCACTTCATTTCCGCCGGAAGAGGTTTGCACACAGCGTCTGCCGGTGTACACAGCGACGGTTCCACGACTGGAGATGGCGTTACTATCCCCCACCCGAATTCAGTGCAGAACACTAACATGACGACGTGGCCCAGCATAACGTACAGCGAGATTTGCTCCTACTTCGTGCAATCCATGGCAATAGATGGAAAAGCAATTGGACAATCTGAAAGCCGTCGAGGCATATCAATATCTGCACAGCAACAAAGTCGGTTGTGTCATGTCATACACAGCTAGATAAAACAGACATAACGTGCAAATAACTATCAGTTTATGTCCGTGGTAATAGCAAATGTATCTGTGTGTTACTTTAATGTTTCTTTTAACATAATAACAACAATTGTGGCTAAATAAGTGTTTGCAGTTTATAGCTTAATCAGGGAAGACATTTACATGATTATAGGAAATAAAAGAAGCATGTTGTTGCGGATGGAATACGTGTTTGTATTTGGAAAACGGACTGTAACCTATAACATGACTTACTGCTGAGCTATAAATAAAGACATGATCTCTTTTGCAATTATCCTTATGACTCTGCATTGTTTTACCTGCTGTGTACCAACCAACCATTTTACCGGTTAAAATACCTTTAAATGTCGAAACTAACCCCTTAAAATGCAGTAGCCTATTCTACTTACAACAAAACGATTGAAGCCTCTACTTATTGCAATAAATAATGCAATCACTTTTCGCCACCGTGCCGGATCTCCGGCGTGCGGCCGTGAGAAAAATATTTTCCCGATTCATTTTTGTCCAGCTTTAACGTGTTAAAATATTTAATGCAAACGCAACATCTGTTCTTTCTGTCATCCTTTTGCTAGGGTTATGACCATTCTCTTATTCACGCAAATGCTTTAACCACTCATGCGCGACAAGACAAAAGAGAACGCGCTGTCAGTGAATGTCCTCCTGACGATCCGAACTATATCATAGGCTTCTTAGCTAGAGTGCAAAGTGTGTGTGTGTGTGTGTGTGTGTGTGTGTGTGTGAGCCATGATGATAATAATTAGGCGATCGAACTGTGTGTGAGAGAGAGGCGCGGGCGCGATACTGTGTGAGTGTGTTTGTGTGTAAACAATGGAGCGCATGGACCTCTTCGTAGCTGGTTTGCGGTCGTAGAACTCTCTATCTAACCACTCGTTCAGGTGCTTTCTCGAGTGTTTACAACCAACTATCACACACATCGTTCCCGAACCACCTTTCTTCATGTTGTAATTGTTATGTCACTGCGATATCAGCGCTTTGTCGAAGCTAGCTAGCAAAACAAACCCAGACCGCCAGAACGGAAGTGGGTTGCATCGACGGGAGGAGTTTAGGATGTAGAGCGGAAACGGCTCATAAACTTGTGTATAGGGCTGATCAAATTAAATCATTTACACTGAAAAATTACAATTGCATAAAATAATGTTATGAAATTGATTTAAATTTACAAATAAGAAACGTTGGAAAGAATGATACTACTTTTAAACATAACACTAAACCGCCAGTAGGTGGTGGCAGGCGACCGTCTTAATGAGTGAGTCATTGATTAATTCATTCAAACGATTCGTTCAAAATGCTGAATCATTCAGTAATGAAAACGGCGTTTATGTGCGTTTAGCCTCCACTACATCCCTGCGTGTCATGTTTAGGGTCGTGGGGAGACTGGAGTCTTTCCCATCATCTCAGCTCGTAGGCAGGAAAACATCCTGGACAGATGGTCGGTCCATCACAGGGATGACACACACATTCATATTTACACTCACACCTACAGGCAAACTAACAGTCTCCAATTCACCTGTCCTGTATATCTTTGGATTTTGGGGGAAACCAACAGCAACACAGAGACAACATACAAACTCCACACAGAAAGAATTGTCACACATAGTTGTAGATGCAGACGATGACGAAGAAGATTATGTTAAAAGTGTTTAATTGGTTGGGTGACGTCTCTGAGGTGTGGCTGGACAAGGCTGCTGTTATCCTCTGGTTTGCCCACTGTGAACACGGATCCATTCGTCCACAGCGCACAGTTGATGTAACTTTCAAGGGTCCATCAGGGGCATGACGAAGCGGAGATCTATGTGAAAAATGCAAAGGAAAAACTTTTCCATTTTTAGTACATCATTGTCATGTAAACGTACCCTAAATTTGGTCTTCATATTACAAAAAGATGTAATATTATCAATCAACCCCAGGGGCATAAAAATTTCCCAAAGTTGAGGAAATAACCACATTTAACAAATCAGTAGCTTGTTTCTGTAACTTTCCCGTTTTGAGCTCACTCCCCTTCTCTTTATCCCAGTTTTTGCGTCTCTCCAGCACTGCTGATTCTTCCAGGGTCTTCAATATCATGAGGGAGCATTGGAAACTGCCGCAGCCCAACCTGGTGTTGTCAGTGGTTGGTGGTGAGAAAAAGTCAGAGGTCAAGACCTGGGTGCGAGACGTGCTGAGGCAGGGGCTGGTTAAAGCTGCACAGAGTACAGGTGCCATCTTCTCTCCCGTGCACACATAATATTATTCATATCTGTTTTCATGTTTTTCATACATTTACAAAGAAGTTTTGATTTACTGCCAGACTGTAATTATCAAAAGGTTTGTCATGCGACTCTTTGTCCGTAAATGTCATACCTGAAATGATTCACGAGCAACCGAAAATTGCATGACCACAGTGATTTAAGCAAACTTCAACTCTGCATTCTATTGTAAACTGACAAGATGCAAGAAGTATGAATATGAATCATACATGCATGTCTAGAGTAACCGCAAGTCATTAAAGACCCAGTTACCAGGACATAAATTCCTGCAGGACTATTTATTTCACCAACCTGGTGTGTGTCTGGAAAGTCGCCTAGCAAGTTCTTCTCTGTGTGTATATAGTAAAAAAAAAAAATGCACAAAGTAATTTAATGGAAATATAATAATTAATATAAATAACTAAATATTACATAATTCATGTTTTTAGAATGTTTGGGTCTGTGACAGGTAAAACAAAATATTTACATACAAATATATAAAAAGCAATAAAATATAATAAGAATTCATAAGAATTATGACTAGTAAATATCACCAATTAAATAAAAAAAGTAGATTTTCTATGTGGCTTACATACACCTTATACATTACATATAGGTGCGTGGATCATAACCGGAGGGTTGATGGAAGGCCTCGGCAGGTGTGTAGGAAAAGCTGTGAAAGATCATGCCACCGCAACGTCTTCTGTCACTCTCAGTAAAGTGGTACTTATTGGCATCGCTCCCTGGGGCCTGGTGAGGAATCGGGAACAGCTCGTCAACCCTGAGGTAACGCATCTTAAAAAATAAACAGTCCTGGTCAGAATCATTGGCACCCTAACAAAGAATGAACAAAGAAACCTGTGAAGAAAAATCTGCATTAATCCTTTTGATCTCTTTTAAAAATCACAAAAATCGAACCTTTCATTGAAGTAAAACAATTGGAAAATGTGGGGGAAATCTCATTATGAAATGCTTTTCTCCAATACACATTAGCCACAATTATTTGCACCCTTTTATTCAATACTTTTTGCAGCCTTGTGAGGTTGAAGAACACCTGACGAGATCAGTGATCAGTGACCCATTTTTGTGTTGGTTTTGATGTTTGTTTTGGATCATTGTCTTGATGGAAGATCCAACCATGGCACGATATAAGATTAAGTCAGGTTTGGATTTTTTTTATCTGTTGGTATTTAATTGAATCCATGATGCCATGTATCTCAAAAAGATGTCCAGATCCCCCAGAAGTAAAATAGGTCCACAGCAGTATATTTATTATTTAATTGTACACATGGGGTACTATTTTATGCATGTGCGCACCAAACCCATCTGGCGGGTTTGCTGCCAAAAAGCTCTTTTTGTTCCAGTTGTGTCTGGAAACTGAATATGCTGGAGTTTGTTTTTGGATGAGAGCAGAGGATTTTTCCTTACTCAAACAACTTGTGATGTAGGTGCTGTTTTTTTTAAGGCTTTCTGACCCCAATACTCAACTCATTTCTGCTATTTTCCAGCTGATCCTTGGAGAGTCTTTGGCCACCCGAACTATCCTCCTGAGTCCTTGTATTGTATTAAGTTAATTAACTTGTATTAAGACAATGTAGCCAGACACGTGTTCTCTTCCAGACAGATTCATGACATCTCCTGTTTTGGAACTTAATTATTGCCCTGATGGTGTAAATGGGAATTTTCAATCCTTTAGCCATTTTCTTACAGCCACATTTTTAATTTTGTGAAGCTCAACAATCTTTTGCTGCACATCAGAACTACATTTCAGTCATGCCAAATCCGGAAAAGTTTTAGCATGTTATATAAATATGGCAATGTTGATGCATTTGGTCTTGGCGGACTAGATCAGCTTCACTTCCACTACTGCTGCTGCTGCAGAGAAAGTATGGACTTGCTACTGCTAATAGATACACAGACACGCAGCTGTGAGCATGTAAGAAATGCTGCTGCTGCTACTGCATAAATAGACGTACATAAGTCCCGTTGAAGGTCTAGGCAGGTGGAGCTGGGGGAGGTGGAGGGTTTCAGAGGAACTCTGGGTGATGCAGGACTAGTTACAACAAACACTGAACCAGACTAATTAAATGTTGAGCAAGCAATCTCATTGGCTGCAGGATCAGCATAGGCCAATCACCCTCTGCCAATGTGGCAATAGTGTGATTGCTTGTAGATTGCAGGTAAAGGACCTATCAGCCTGTGCCCTCTAGAGTTTAATAACTGAACTAGATATTCTTTTTTTTACCCATTGTGATGTATTATCTATGGAATTTGACCTTTGTGTTACCTCATATTTATACTCTTCATGGCTCGACAATTTCATGCTCCTAGTCACCCTGGTGTGCTAAAAATTAGATATTTTATTCATAAAAATTTCTAGGGGTACCAATAAGTCCACATGCTATGTACTGCATTAATAGAGCAGTAGTATGGTGTATGCAATTTCCCAATTTGAAGAGATACTACCATTCCACACTGCATTTGCATATGGTCTTTCAGAACAACAGTGTCTCATTCTTTCTCTTAGGGAAGTTTCCCCGCAAAGTATTTAGTCAAAAACGGAGCACGGGACTCTTGCTATCTGGATAATAATTACAAGGCTTTCCTTCTGGTGGATGATGGGACCATAGGGCGTAAAGGTGGTGAGGTTGCCTTCAGAGCCCGTCTGGAGGATTACATTTCACGTCAGCGCACAGGTACAAAATAAAATGCTGCTTTTAGGCCATTTTACGTGCTTGCGTGCTTTACAGAATTAAACTTGATGTTCATGAGATGCTTATGTTTAATAGAATATTACTGATGTAGAGATGAGTTTACATAATATGGTTTCATTGCAGTTATTTCATTGAACAGGAGTGCAACACGGTAACTAGCAAATACTTGGTTTGAACAAGAGAGGTTTAGATTTTTGGCCAACTAATGGCTATTTTGGGTGTATTACAAGAAAAGACCAAACTTTTAGTTTAAAAGGCTTCTAGGTGAACCATTCAGAAAGTGTTCGTAGAAGGTCATTTAAAGGTTCACTTTTAGGTATGAGGTTCAAGTATGACACCTATGAGTTTCAAGTATGACACCTATGACACATTAATATGAGTTCATCGATACAGAGAACTGAAATATTAATGAAAATCAATGAAAATGTGTATATATATATATATATATATATATATATATATATATATATATATATATATATATATATATGTATATATATATGTAGGCTATGCATGTGTGTGTGTGTGTGTGTGTGTGTGTCTGTGCGCGCGTGTTTGTGTGTGTATTAGGGCTGGGCAAAAACGATGATAACGATGATAAGCTGTGGACATTTTTACTCTGTATGGATTAATCAAACAGTCTATCACACAGCGTAAATAAACGCGACAACAGCCCATCAGTGAATGTTGCTAATTCACTGAAACTGAAACTAAAACTGTAAGATCATCACGACAAACCGTAAAAAATAAAAGTTCGGTTTACTTTAAGAAATTATGACAGAAATATATCGCAGTGGCGGCTTGTCCATAGGGGGCGCTGGGGCGCCGCCCCCATCAACATTTCAGAAATTAACATGTGTAAAAACATTATATTAAAATGAAATAATAATCAAATAAAAAATATTTTACTCATGTGCCGGCTGGTAGTAAGAGCCTCAGAATTTAATAAAAACTGTCTTTAATTGATTAAATATTTACTATGTTTTTCAATAGAGGGTATGCGCATGACGTCACCGTCGGCCGGAGTGAATGCGGTCACGCCCACAAGTGGCAAAAAGACTGAGCGGCAGCATTTGTTTTCAGCGTGAATGCCGTGAAAAACACACAAAACACATCTAAAACGGGAAAGAGCTTTGCGATTGACTGTACAACTAGATTTGACCAGAAATCTGAGGTACTGTATATTTTTACAGTCTGCAAAAAGCTACTGAACAGACTATATTCTGCATAATTGGATGTTTTTAAATAAACACTGACAAAAAACTATACAAGTTTTAGGGCTGGACGATATTATGATATACAGTATAACATTAATGTAAGTGATCACTCGGATTTAGACCTATCTATATTGTATTTATATAAAACGTTTACAGGCAAATTGTCTTCATTTATTTCCCAGGCGTCGAAATCAGGCACATATAAATGTCAGGAAACACGATTCCTGGCTGCATGTCAATATCCATGGATCACTGGATCTTTGATAAGTTGTAAGGAACACTATATCGAGTCCAACTTTTAGTTTAAACTGATAATAGTTTGTTTTACTCGCGTTAACGCAGTTTCCCCTATTAACTCCAGTCACGCAGCAGCTCTTCTGCCACTCAGTCCCGCTGAGGGGGGCGTGTTCCGGCGGGGAAGTGACGTTAATGCATTCCCTCTATACGTTTCATGGGCGAGGGACGCCGGACACATGGGTGTCTATGTGAGTACACAAATTCTCGGGCAGCATGTGACCTGAAGCTGGTCTCTGATTGGTTTCTTAAAGATCCTCCTCGGGGCGCAAGTCGTTGCGTCCCTGGCCAATCATAATTGGATACATGTTATTTTATCCAATCTGATTGGTTCTCGTCACCTGTCATTCAACTGTACGCGGCGGGAAATAACCTTGCTTGCTACTAGTCTGATCACGTTTTATTACGCAATGGCAGCAGTTAATCCAAATTCTGTGATTTATTTACAAAAAAATCCTTTCTCAAGACTTTCGCTTGAAGAAAAAACAAAGATTAAGGATCTCGGACCGGAACAACCAGATTTACACATCCAGCAGCAGGCAAGTGACAGAGGACGAAGCTACAAACGGAGCTTTACCTGCGCTTGTTACGAGAAACGGAGCTGGCTGACTGGATGTGATGTTAGCAATGCCCTGTTTTGTTTTCCCTGTCTTCTTTTTCAAAGTGTTGGCACTGAAGTTTAATGGGCAACTACGGGGGTAAGCGACCTCAAACATCTATCTGACAAATGCAAACGTCATGAAAGTAGCCGCAGCCATCTTGAGAATAGCTTGAAATTAAGCATTGCGGAACAACTAGATGAAGGCTACAGGATTGGCATTAGGAGGCACAACGAAGAGGTGACAAAAAATCGACACATACTGTCCAGGATAAAAGACTGTGTAAAGTTTTGTGGAGCATTTGAGTTGGCTTTACGTGGTCATGATGAGAGTAAGAGCGCAGATAACCCTGGTATATTTCGCGGATTGGTGGATTTTGTGACCTCTCTTGATGGAGCATTGAAAGAGCATTTTGACAGTGCTACTGTATTTAAGGGAACGTCGAAAACTATACAGAACGAGCTTCTGGACTGTATGTTATCTGTTACAAGAGAAGAAATAATCAAAGAAGTCCAGACAAGTAGTTTTTTATCAATCCAGGCAGATGAAACCACAGATATTGCCACACTGGCCCAGCCTGTGCTTGTTTTGCGCTACATCGACGACAAAAATAACGTGCAGGAAAGATTTTGAGTTCATCCCTCTGCAGTCAGCTACAGCTGAGTCCATTGCTACTGCACTAAAAGAGCGTCTTGCTTCTATCCTCCCTGAGGATCAGAAAAGTAAGCTCATCTGCCAGGCATATGATGGAGCCAGCGTGATGAGGGGTGCCACTGCAGGTGTACAGAGAAAAGTACAAGATGTGTATCCAAATGCCCACTATATCCATTGCTACGCTCATCAGCTCAACCTGATTATGCAGCAGGCCACGTCTCACATATCCAAGACGAGAATTTTTTTTTCTAACGTTGGTGGATTTGCCAGCTTTTTTTCTAAGTCACCCAAGCGGACATGTTTTCTGGATAAAGTGGTTGCCCATAGACTGCCAAGATCCAGCAATGTCAGATGGAACTTTCATAGCCGTGCCATTAATACAGTTTTTGAGCACAGAGAGGATCTCATTCACTGTTTTGAGAGCATACAAGACTCAGGTGACTTTGACCCCAATACTGTCAGAGAAGCAGGTGCCCTGGCCATGCTACTGGAGGATGATGATTTTAAGTTCTTTCTGGAACTTTATCACCACATCATGCCACATGTAGACTTCCTCTATGCCAAGCTCCAGAAGAAGAACATTGATTCGGTCCATATCAAAGTGAGCATCCAACAGTTCCAACAGGAAATACAAAAGATCAGGTAACTGTATTCCTGTAATAGGATCATTATTTGGTTTCTCTTTCATTATTAACTCTCTCTCTTTTGCCAATATTATAATAAATTAGCTTTGTCCTTTGCAGAAACTCTCTCCACTCCATTGGTGAACAAAACAGTGGTTCTCAGCCAACAAAGAGACGCCGGGTGCTCAGTCCGGAAGAACGTGAAAGGATTGGAGCAGAGGTGAGTTTGTTATAGAATTCAGTCAAAAATACTATTTTACAATATTGTTGTGCTGCAGAAATGTCCTGCCTGCATATCATATTCTACAGACTCAAGAAAACTATTTTAGTTTGCTATAAATCCTTACAAAAATCATCATTTTAATATTATACAACAGCATCCCAAAAATAATAAATTGGCAACATAAATATAAATGATCAAATTAGGGATGCAAGTTATCGATTAATTCATTAATCTTTAGTTGATTGACCTAATTAACGATTAACTGATAAGTGGCTATTTTCCTGAGAATGTAAATTTCTCATGGTATCAATCTTCTAAATATCTTCCTTTCTGTTCAGCAGAAGAAATTAATTCATACAGGTTTGAAAAAAACATGAGGGTGAGTATAATGACAGGCTACTACCTTACATTTATATATTGTTTAATTATCTCTATAGGTCTGTGACACAATCCTGGGACACACTAGGGAGCGTTTCTCCTTCACAGACCACCTTGTCTGTGCCACCTTGTTGCAGGGGGACAGGTTTGACGAGTACAAGGATATACATTTCCTGACGATGCATTGAGCAGCACCATCAGAGCGTACCCGATGCTCAATGGAAGCAAGCTCAAGACAGAGCTCAGTCTTATCTACAGCAAGCAAGAGTTCGGTGCCTGCCGTGGTGCTGTGGACCTATTCCAGCTGTTTATGGAGAATAATCTCGAAGAAGTCTTTTCCGAAACTGTGACTCTCCTAAAAGTTATCATAACCACACCCATGACCACGGCTGAAGCTGAGAGGTGCTTTTCAACCTTGAAAAGAATTAAAACCTTTCTCAGAAACACCATGACCCAGGAGAGGCTGAATGCACTGGCATTGCTGTCCATGGAAAAGAGACTTGTCACAGCGATGACTGACTTTAATCAGAGAGTAATTGAGAAATTTGCTGGGCAGAAAGAGAAGAGCTAAATTTATGTTCAAGTAGGAAAGATGCTTTTTGGTACTGATTTGTTGATCTGAAATGTATATAAAGAAGAGCATTGTTTTATGTTCAAGTAGGAAACATGCTTTTTGTTGGTCTGAAATGTACAGACCCTTTCGTCGGCGATAACGAGAATTCACTTAAGAGTCCTACAGACCCTTTCCAAAAAATTTGAATATCATGGAAAAGTTAATTATTTCAGGAATTCAACTTAAAATGTGAAACTAATATATTATATAGGTTCATTGCTTGCAAAGTGAGAGATTTCAAGCCTTTATTTGTTATAATTTTGATGATTATGGCTTACAGCTTATGAAACCCACAAAATCTAAATGTCATAAAGCTTTTCTGCTGAAGGAAGCATGAAGTGCTCTAATGTCCTCCTGGAAGTCCAGAGTCAATGCAGCCGTCTACCAGGACATTTAGAGCACTTCATGCTTCCTTCAGCAGAAAAGCTTTATGAAGATGCTTTATGAAGATGAATTTCAGCAGGATTTTCACCTGCCCACACTGCCAAAATAACCAAAACCTGGTTCAATGACCATGGGATTACTGTGTAACTACTACAGTGTGATTTCATGTAATATTCTAATTTTCAAAAATTGATTTCGTGGGTTCCATAAGCTGTAAGCCATTATGTAAGCCATAATCATCAAAATTATAACAAATCAAGGCTTAAAATATCTCACTTTGCAAGCAATGAGCCTTTTTTTATAAAATTAGTTTCACATTTTAAGTTGAATTCCTAAAATAATTTAACTTTTCCATGATATTCAAATTTTGGAAAGGGACTGTATATAAAGGAGAGCAACATTATGTTCAAGTAGGAAACATGCTTTTTGTTTCTACTTTGTTGGTCTGAAATGTAAATAAAAAGAGATCAAAATAGCTTTTTTGTTTCTGCTTTGTATTTTGCCCCCCCCTCCCCCTCCCCCCTATAAAATAAAAAATGCGCCCCCCCAAAAATAATTATCACCAGCCGCCAGTAAAATGTAATAATAATATTTCTAAGGAATATCACAGAGTTGTTCATAGAATATCTTTAAGGAATAAGAATTTTTTTATCCATGTTTTAAATGTATAGTTTTGACAAAAGATACAAATGCAATGTTTTGTTGTAAATTGATTGTTATTTTTCATTCAATTACTTGATTAAATTGGTAAAGTTTATTTCAATTTGTATTAAATCATAAAACACAGAACCCCCCCGACCCCCCCCCCCCCCCCCCCCTAAAATGTAGCCACTCTGTGAAGTTTAATTGTGAACAAACAAGTTTACATTTTTACCTTCATTCTCAAGGTCTAACAAATATTTGGAAAGCATTTCCTACCCCATTAATGGTAAATTAATATTGTGATAAATATCATAATAAACCAATATCGTATAATATGGAAAAAAATATTGTGATAATATTTTTGCCCATATCGTCCAGCCCTCTGTATGTATATATGTGTGTTATATTTTAAGGTTAAGATCTTTTTAATAAAAGCATACAGGACTATATACTTGAATGCAATTGCTAAAAAAACCGCAATCTCATGTGCAGGGAGTGCAAGTATTAACATTCCTGTTCTGAATATGCTGATATCTGGAGAAGCTTCCATGCTGGAGGTGAGCAGATTCCAGTTTAATTACATGCAAAACGTCCTCAGTCCTATCTCTTAATTCTCTCTTACAATGTTTCTTCATTTCAGGCATTAGATATCTCTCTGAAGAATTCCATGCCCTGGTTGGTCCTGGCTGGTTCGGGAGGGCTTGCCAATCTTGTGTGTGACATCGTGGAGAACGTGCAATCTGCTCCGATGCCCTCAACTGGAGGAGCAGAGAAGGAGGAAGGGACTCCCAACATGGAGCTTAGAGAACGATTGGCGGAGAAAGTAAAGATATACTTCCCTTCAGAGCAGGAGATGGACAAACATGTTGACAGGGTAAATGTTACACTCTTTATTCGATCATATAACATCAAAATACTAAAACTGAATTGTTTTTTGTGCTGTTTTTTCTTCTTGTTGCTTGGCTGGTACCTGAAAGGTTTTCAGCATCTACCAAAACAAAGACCTCATCTGCATTTATAACGCGGAACAGGAAGGAGTGGAGGATTTTGACACTGTGATACTTAAAGTCCTCGTTCAAGGTAAACTTTAAACTGTTTATTACAGTGTTTCTACATCTCTTCAACTTGAACCCCTTCGGTCTACAGTGGACCTATTCATTAAATCTTTTTCTGTTTATAATTTTTGCTCTCTCTCTTTGTGTGTGTGTGTGTGTTAGCGAGTAAAAAACATGCTACGGGCAATTCTAATCCCTATACTGATGAGTTGAAGCTTGCTGTAACATGGAACAGAGTGGACATTGCCAAGAGTGAACTCTTCAATGGAGACATCGATTGGAAGGTAGAGGATTGTGGGAAATATACTGTAAATTAGCTTTTAAACTAGGGCTAGTTGTCGAGTGTTCCTGTACTTTAAACAGTACAGCAGGGCTCTCGAAAAGCCAGAGTCAATAAACGAGTTAAATTGATCAAAAGTTACAGTAAATACATATTCAGCACAGCTGTTTTCAACAGTCATTATAATATAAAGTGTTTTCTTGAGCAGCAAATCATCATATTAGAATGATTTCTGATGGATCATGTGACACTGAAGACTGGAGTAATGATGCTGAAAATTCAGCTTTGTCATCACAGGAATAAATTACATTTTTAAATATATTCAAATAGAAAACTATGGTAATACAAACAGTAATCGATCACAAAACCATGGCTAATTTTCCTAAGGGGCGGTTGAACAACCTTACAAAAGCGAGAGCTTACAAAAGGCTACAGTAAACACTAGCCGCGTTTCCATTACACTTCAAATTGCGCGAATTGAAAATTCGGCCAATGGAAACACGTAAATTTCGCAAAAACTCCCATTTATCGCAAAAAGGTTTTTACGGTGGCATGAGGTGGTTTTTCAGGCAATTCGAAAAAGTAATATTTCGCAAAACTGCCATGGAAACAGTTTTTGCGCATTTACAGGTCACGTGATGTAGATGGCGTGGTATGTTTGGACAGAAGACGAGACAGTTCTTTATTAAACTCATAAAAGACAAAAGAATTACAGTAATACTGGATTCTAAACCTCAAAGAAATGGCACAATCAAGAGCTTGAAGCAGATATTGGGAGAAACACCTCATGTGCCCCTCACAAGTATAAGGGGCTTTCCTTACCATTAATGCTTGGATAACACACCTACTGCTCCTTCGATTGAAAATAATGGCTAGTGCGATGGCTGGGATAAACCTGCCAACATCCGTTGCCATGATTGTTGGAAAGACTTATCGTGAGAGGAAAAAATTACGTTTTAGTCGCATAACATCGGTTAATGGAAACACTGTAATTTCGCAATCGTTTTTTTATCGACATTTAGAAAAAATCGCAAAAGTTTTGCGCAAATCTGTAATGGAAACGCGCCAGTCTATATCAACACTTATATTGGCTAGAGGTAGCCTGGATGCCGCCCACAACATTTTTTGATCGGGAAGTTCGGTCTGGACTTGCTCCATTGAAGAGTAATTATGATCGGTTCAGAAATCGTCGGGCCAATCAAATTGCCAGGGCGGGCTTTATACGATGATGGACAGATGATCTGCAGGGACGTAATCCTCACGTTATCAAAGAGCGCTTGGGTTGAACTGGTTTCCCTCAGCGATGACTGCAGCTGGAGAACTGAGATGTATAGATTCCGCTATCGCGTCTGTTGTAAAAGAAATCGACAGCGCATTCATTTTAATAGACGAACATAGAACTGCAATCAAGGCATTTGTCGATCGGAAAGATGTGTTTGCCGTACTTCCTACGGGATTCAGCAAAAGTTTATTTTATCAGCTGGCTCCGATGGTAACTAAGAAGATGGGACGCAATGAAAACCCTGTGGTCGTTGTGGTTTCTCCTTTGGTCGCACACTCGCACTCATGGAGGATCAAGTAAAAGAAGCAACACTCGTTATTTTACTTCTTCCAGCGTGCGTGCATTTGAGTTCTGTAGTTGACAACTGTGCTATGCAAAGTAGTTGACTAACTGCGTTGCTCTCATTGGTTGTAGGTCTATCCAATTGAGTGCAGAGTTTTTTTTTTTCCTGGTTCGGTTAAGACACGCCTCATAATCAAAGCCCTATTAAGCAGTATCAGACTCACATTCTGACTAGAATATGAGTATGACGAAGTCAGGCTAGGCTAGGGTGAGCGGAGCCTTTTGTTTACATCGAGGCAACAACATTAAACTTATAATTGGAACTGTTAATAGAAAACGCAAGATTAATAAGACATACTTAAATGTTGTTATCCACAAACATCAGATTGTCCTGACAAAGAGGAAACTGCTCCATTTGAGGAGAAGCTTTTGTGCGTAGCCTGCATTGTACTCTCTTAGTTTTTGGATGCTGTTCTCTGTAACATGTGCTGCGCACAGATAAACATTAGGGTTATAATGTTCAGGAACAGTGGTTAAAATCAATTTGAACCACTCTAAGTTTGTCAGCATTAGATATAATAATGAGTTTTGTAAACGGAGTGGAAAACTGTCTTCTCTAACGCAACTAAACCAGGCCTTGTCCGCTTTTTTGCATATTCAGAGGGCGGGGATTATTTAAATAAGGAACATTATGACTTCACAAAGCCTGGAAAAAACGCGTTGTAGTCCAAACGAGTCGTCTGTTGTAGTTCTTGGAAAGTGGATTCTGTTAAATAAAATCTCCCTTTGGAGTGGACCTTTAGCTTTGTAACCTTGCAGATCTTTTTTTATGCTCAAACAGCAACATTACACACCAACTAAAGTTGAAAAAGTGAAAAAGCATAATAGGACCCCTTTAAATAGTAATAATATTTCACAATAAAACATTTTACTGTATTTTTGTTAAAATAACTGTAGCCTTGGTGAGCAGTTTTTCTGGTATGTGGTGATAACCTGGTATTTCTTTCCTGGCACATGCAGTACGATGATCTGAAAGATTCCATGACTGACGCGCTGATAAACAATAAACCCCAGTTTGTGCGTCTCTTCATTGATCATGGTCTGAACATTTTGAGCTACCTGACTTACGAAAAACTGGAAGATCTTTACAACTCCATCCCTGACAACAGCCAGGCCGGCAAACTGCTGCAGCATATCCTGAAGGAGCGCAGGAACGAGTCCAGCAATGATAAGAAATACGGCATTAGCATTTATGAGGTGAGATCTGAAAATTATTGGACAAATATTGGCAGATTAATTAGTGTATTACCCAGTAACACCCACTGGAGGGCATAAGTAGGATTTGCAACTCGCAAGTTATTCTTACCAGTTTTGTACTTGTATACTAAAACAGTGATATTAAAAGACCAAATCCAGTAAATACCTTATTGATAATACATACATACAGGCATCAAATGAGCCCAGAATATGAACGCAACACGCCAACTTGCATGTTAAGCAATTTCCCTTTGCAAACCATTATAAAGAAAATGTGTATGTGGCTTAAAGCATTAAGACAGTGATACTGGAGGACCAAATTCAGTATACACCTCCTTATTGATAAAAATACTCTTTACAGGCAAGCAGATGAACCCATAATATAAACGAAACATGCAAAGTTTCATGTTAAGGGTTTTCCCTTTGAAAACTATTATAATGTAAACTCATAAAATGAAATTTATTGTGTTGTTCATATTCTGGGCTTATCTGCTTGTAAAAAATAATGCATCATCAATAAGATGTATACTGAATCTGATCTTTTAAAATCACTAAGTATATTAAGCGATTTTTACGTTAGGCATTGTAGAATGGCTCACTGTTTTTTAATGAAATACTGTGATGAGGGCTGTATAAGGATCATAAGTGGCCAAAACTTGCAGTTTGTTCACATATCTTTGTTTTTCTTCTTTTGAGAGGTAAATATTTGTGGATCGAAACTGACAGGCCTGTGCAGCAGTTCTTTAGATGTTTTGCCCGCTAGTCATTTGACTGAAAACTATGAATACCGGGTATGTGCTGTTGAAAATTTCACCGATTTCTCATCCCAGGTGTCCCAACTCCTGGAGGATCTGTTAGGGGAGGTATGCCAGCCCTTCTATAAATCTGTACTGATGCTGGACAAAAGTTCTACCAAAAGAAAAGCTTTTAAGGTACCAGACTTATTATCTAGTACCTTAGAAATGTATTATGTCCCCCCCCCCCCCCCCATCCCCCCCATTCTTCCATGTCTGCTCAGTCCTTAAAAATAAAATGTCTTTAAAAACCACCCTTCAGAAAGCATGCCAGGTCCTGCAGGGGGAGTGTAGCTATCGGAAGCAGCAATGTCAGCACGCGTGGTTATGTCTCTTCATCTGGGCAGTGCTGCAGAACCGCAGTGAGATGGCCATCTTCTGCTGGGAAATGGTAACATGCTTCTGATGAGTTATTGTCACATTGTTAGGGATGCATCATGTATCATTTATGGAGTGATTTCAGAGATTTTATGTTCTGTCATTATTGGTCATATTGGATATTTAATTGTTTTATTTTTAGATTACATGAAAGCTCACTTAAAGTTAACATTCAACCAAATGTATTAACTGTAAAAGTAAGATCTTTAGCAAACCTCAAAATGAATATCATACATTTCGGGTGTGTGATTGTTTATATTGTTGCAAGATGCAAATTGTATTATCGCACAGTTCTGCATATAAAGTTGGATATGTATTTTATCCAACTTTATCAACATACATACAGTATACTCAATTAATAATAATAATAATTCATCACATTTATATAGCGCTTTTCTGGACACTCAAAGCGCTTCACATAGAAGGGGGAATCTCCTCAACCACCACCAATGTGCAGCATCCACCTGGATGATTCACTTAAAGCGATATATATTATTTAATAAACCTCAATAATAAACCTTGACTTTTTTATTTTTAAATTTACCTGCATAAATACGGTACACTCACATAAAACTATTTATACTACCGGTATATAGCAAATCTCAACTGCTTGACTTTTATTTAATCTTAAAATGTAACCGTTTTCCCCCAGCTCTTTATATAAAGCTGGATATAAAAGTATGTCCAACATTATCTGTTTACATCCAGCAATATACACTATATAGCAAAAAGCAACTGCTTGATTGCTGCAAAATTGTTATCACTGTATTATTTCTAGATTAACTATATTATCAGCAAGCTCTAATCTTCTAAATGCAACTATGTGGCATCAACATCATGATTTTCTGTAATGCTTTGAAACCCGTGTATTGAGAAAAGCTCAATAGAAAATTAATTTGTAGGTTTATATTTTTATATATGTATAATGTCTCAACTTTGAGCATTTAAAATGACCAATTTTAGTTTTACTTACAGTATTTATTAATAGAAAATATTGAGGAAACCTTATTTGTCAGCCGTATATATAAAAAATGTATCAAAGGAAATGTTCTGCACAGCATCTCTCTGATCTGTCCTGCTGTTCTCTCTCAGTGCGGCGAGTCTGTACTGACGGCTCTGGGAGGATGTAAACTGTTGAGGGAGCTGTCTAAACAGGGGATTGAGACAGAGGCCAAGCTTTCCATTAAGGAGTTGGCCCAGAAGTTTGAGAATATGGCTCACGGTAAGATGCGTGAAAATATTTGGTTTTTGGCATCTTATAAATGTTCTAGTGATAAATCCCTCTGTTTTCTTCCCTGGCATTTTTTGACAGATGTGTTTAGCATGTGCTACCAAACCAAAGCCAGTGATTCCTTTAAGCTACTGATTCGCAAGTCTGATATGTGGGGTGACGCCACCTGTCTGAAGATGGCCATGGCTGCTGACGCCCGTATTTTCTTCAGCCACGATGGAGTACAGGTCTTTTGACATGCAAACAGTCATTAATAACATTGTTTGTTTGGTTTTGAACAAGGTAAGTGTTTTTTCCCTTTTTTTTCTTAAACGGTCTCTTTTTTTTTTTAGTCGCTGCTGTCTCAGATCTGGTGGGGTCAGATGGAGAGAGGAACTGAGCTCTGGAAACTTGCTCTGACTATGGTCATTCCTCCTCTCTGCTACACCAACCTCATCAAATTCAGGTCAGTACGTCAACCATGTAAATTTCCGGTGACACTTTACAAAAAGTTCGCATTAGTGAACATTAGTTAATGGATTAACTAACATTAACAATGATCATTTTAATTCAGATCATCAGCATTTATTATTTGTTAATGTTAGTAAATAAAAAATACAACTGCTCATTGTTAGTTGATGTTAGCACAGGTCTGTTAAATATTGTGATTGTAAACTGATAAATCTTTTGCTTTTATGTGTTAGTAAATGTTGAAATTAACATTAACCAAGATTACTAAATGCATTAGAAGTATTTTTCATTGTTAATACCAATGTTGGTCATTTTATTTGACAGGATGGAGTAAGAGACAAACCAACTAATGCCACAAATCATCACAGAACTAAAATCCATTGCTAATATTTGCAGAAATTTGACCCAAACAGAGCTCGAGTATACACAATTTTGACATTCCATACATATGATCCAATGTTGTGGGGAAACTGAAAGAATTTTGAACAAACTTGAAGATTACATTTTAAAGGTTTTTAGCTCCCATCTGGGTCAAAAAAGACCTGAACAACCTTTTTTTCTAGTCTGTTATGCTCACCAAGGCTGCATTTATTTCAAAAGAGACAGTGAAGACATTTATAATGTCACAAAATATGTCTATTTAATAATGATTTAATAAATTGAATAAATAAATGCAAAATAAATGCTGTTAATTTAACGGTGTATCAAATAATTCTGAAAAAAAGCATCACCGTTTCCACAAAAATGTCAAGCAGCACAGCTGTTTTAAACATTGATAATAACAATTGTAAAAAAGAAATGTTATCCGAGCATCAAATCAGAAAATTAGAATGATTTCTGAAAGATCACATGACACTTAAGCCTGGAGTAATGATGCTGAAAATTCAGCTTTTTGCATCACAGAAATAAATTACATTTGAAAATATATTCAAATAGAAAACGTCTCAGGTTACGTATGTAACCCTGGTTCCCTGAGAGGGAACGAGACGCTGCGTCGAGACGCGGTGGGAACGCCCCTGCGTGATTGTGTCGTGAAGCACGTGTATAATCAGTCCAATGGAGAGACGAGACGTCATAGGCGGGTGACGTCATCGACCAGGAAACTATAAAGCACACCTGAAAACAGACCGCGCCAGCTTCTGATAGGCCGAAGCAAGTCGATCACAGGCATGCAGGGAGTATGGCAGGGCGACGCAGCGTCTCGTTCCCTCTCAGGGAACCAGGGTTACATACGTAACCTGAGACGTTCCCTTTCAAGGGAACTCGAGCTGCGTCGAGACGCGGTGGGAACTCTCATGACGCCATACGACAAATGCCTGTTCTGTGTGAAGTCCTTGCGCACACTAAGAAGGCAGCCATACTCCTCGTATCTTGGTCAGACGCCTCACAGTGCCGCGAAGTAAACGTATTACAGGGTGTCTCCCCAAGGATACACCACTTAAAGGGACATGGTAAGCAGCTAAGGCTGCCATGTACACCTTTAGTGTGGAGGGGGATAGACCTGCGGAGAAACGCTCCTGCAGGAACTCCAGCACTGCAACCACAGGGCAGATAACTGGGTCCAGCTGGTGCTCTCCGCACCAGGAAGTAAACAATTTCCACTTCAAGGTGTAGAGTTTCCTCATGGAGGGAGCTCTGGAGATGAGGATGGTCTCAACAACCCCTCAGAGGCCAAGCCCAAAGTTTCCACAATTCTGGGCGGGGGGAAGGATCAACCCGCTCGACTGAGAGAAAAAGTCCCCCCGAGCGGAATCTCCAGTGGAGAGCCGCCGAGGAGAGACCCTCGGTCCGAGAACCATACTCGGGCCTGCCAACACTGGGCTAATAACAGATTTTTTAGAAGGGCCCCGTCCCGGCGAACTCTCTCCAGAACTCCCTGGAGCAGAGAGATCGGGGGAAATGTGTACAGACGTGACCTCGGCCACGTCTGCATCATAGCGTCCAGCCCCAGAGGAGCTGGCTGACTGAATGAGAACCATTGTGGACAGTGTGTGTTCTCTAAGATGCAAAGTTTTTCATAGGAGTTCCACCACCTCGGGGTGGAATCTCCATTCCCCGGGCCTCGGCCCCTGCCTCGACAGGATGTCTGCTCCTGGATTATGTAAGAGACCACCGACGTGTTGTCTGTGCAGACAAGCACATGGTGACCTCTCAGGTCTGGCAGGAAGTGCTTGAGAGAGAGAGATCGAAACACCGCCATCATTTCTAGCCAATTTATGTGCCAAGAAAGTAGATGGTCCTGCCAAAGTCCTTTCGCCGAGCGACCACTCATGATCGCCCCCCAACCTGTGAGGGAAGCATCCGTCGATAGCTACGCGTCGACAAGAAGCCCCCAGCACTGGGCCTAGGGCGAGGAACCAAGGTTTCTTCCACATGACTAAGGCACGTAGGCATCGCCGCGTGACCTTGATCATGCGAAACGGATTTCCCCTCGGAGAAACCCCTTGGTCCTGAGCCACCACTGCAGGGGTCTCATGTACAGGAGGCCGAAAGTTATTACGTTGGACGCAGCTGCCATGAGACCCACCAGTCTCTAAAACTGTTTCGCAGTGAGTGACTGGCCTAGTTTTACCTAGGCCGAAGAGAAGAACCCGATATTGGTACACTTCGCCCCCGAAAGCGAACCTCAGGGACTTCCTGTGTGGAGGACGGATGGCTACATGGAAGGACGCGTCCTTCCATCTATCGTGACAAACCAGTCCTCGGACTGAATCTGTGACACAATCTGTTTGAAATGTAAGCATCCAACCTTCTTTGGAACAATGAAGTAACGGCTGTAAACCCCTGACTCCCTACTGGGAGGAGGAACCCTTTCTATAGCCTCCTTTCGCAGAAGAGTCTGTACTTCTTGCTCCATAGCCAGAGCCTGCTCGGAGTCCACCACGTAGGGAGGACCCCTAGAAATCTAGGCGGAAGAACCGAACTGGATTCTGAAGCCATTTCTATAGTGCGTAGGACCCAATGATATATATTTGGCAGTAGCTTACACGCTGCCAGAAAATCTACTAAGGGTACCAGTCTCTCGAGACTGGCCTCTGGATTTAACCGAACAGTCACTTCGGTGCCCTGAAGCGGATAACCGGCAGGGAACGACCGACTTGACTGTTCCACGACCCTCCTCGGAGGATCGTTTGGGAACGCTGACACCTCGGTGCCCTGAAACGGATAACCGGCAGGGAACAACCGAACTGGCAGTGCTGCGACCCTCCTCAGAGAGTCGCTTCTCAGGAATGATAACATAACCAGAGCCTGCTCGGGATCCACCACCGTAGGGAGGACCCCTAGAAATATGCGTGGATGAGAACCGAACTGAGTTCTGTAACCCTTTTCTATAGTGAGCAGGACCCAACGAGATATATTTGGCAGTAGCTTCCACGCTGCCAGAAAATCTACTAAGGGGACCAGTCTCTCAAGACTGGCCTCTGGTATTGTTCGAACAGCCACTTCGGTGCCCTGTAACGGCGAACCGGCAGGGAAAACCGAACTGACTGTTCTACGACCCTCCTCGGAGGATCGTTTGGGGACGCTGACACCTCGGTGCCCTGAATGGCGAACCGGCAGGGAACAACCGAACTGGCAGCGCTGCGACCCTCCTCAGAGAGTCGCCCCCCAGAGGGCGCCGAGGAGACACGGATTCTCGAACCCGTCTCTGCCCGGAGGGGGCCACCCTCAGAAGCCAGATAGCCTCGGCATCAGGACTTCTTCTTAGTCGAAGCCTACTTCGAGATAACAACTATCCTCAGATATGTCTTATCTGAAAATGACTATGGCTATGTCTTATCTGAAAATGACTATGGCTAAGACTACTAAAAGGAACCAGCCTCTCGCGACTGGTCTCTAGTATAGCTTGAGAAGCCAATCCGGCGTCCTGAAATGGATGACCGGCAGGAAATAACCGAACTGACCCCTCTTAAACCCCCCTTCTGCGAGTCAGACACTGAGACTAGAACTCGCTGGAGGGCACCGAAGGGAGATGTGCACCATATAATGAGGTGTTATCCATTTCCTCTTGGGAACAACCATTTATTTCCTCAGAAATAAATGACTCCTCAAAAATCAGATGAGTACATATTTAATTTTCTCAATTAAATACAGCCAAATATCAACCAGACAAGTAAACACGGTCTGGATGAAAAAGCTGAATAGTATATTAATACAGACATTTAACTCCAGGATAAGATGAATACATATTTAATTTTCTCAAAAATTAAATGCAGCCAAATATCAACCGGACAAGTAGAAACGGTCTGGATGAAAAAGCTTAAAGCTGAATAGTATATTAATACAGACATCTAACTCCAAGGATAAGATGAGTAGCTATATATTTAATTTTCTCAAATTAAATGCAGCCAAATATCAACCAGACAAGTAGAAACGGTCTGAATGAAAAAGCTGAATAGCCAATAAATACAGACATTTAACTCAAAGATTAGATGAGTAGGCCTACATATTTAATTTTCTCAAATTAAATACAGCCAAATATCAACCAGACAAGTAGAAACGGTCTAGTTTAAAGGCTGAATATAGTGTATTAATATAGACCTCATATTATAATCTCAAACAATAAAGAATACAAAATTAGTTTTCAAACAATCATAAGAGAACGAGAGAAAGGGAAATTTCCCGTCTACTCAGTTCCCTGTGCATATTAGCTACCATTTATCTACACGTTGCCTCGGCAAACGTGAGAAGAGCCACTTTATTATGCAGATATGCAGACCCATAAATTATATTTACGCGCTGCCTCGGCAAGCGCGCGATCTGAGCCATAGATTCTTATTGTAGAGATGCAGACCCATAATCAACGCGCTGCCTCGGCAAACGCGAGATCTGAGCCAATAGATTCTTATTGCAAACCCGTAATCTACGCGCTGCCTCGGCAAACGCGAGATCCGAGCCACGACTCTATGCAGCCCGTAATCTACGCGCTGCCTCGGCACACGCGAGATCCGAGATCCAGTCACAGAATCTTTATTGCAGACCCATAATCTACCCGCTGCCTCGGCAAACGCGTAGATCCGAGCCAAATCTTTATTGACTTTCTTCCCTCGAGAAGAAAGCCAACAAGAGCAGAGCTGAAACTCTCGATAGTGCATATGTTACACGTCGGGAATTTATGAATGAACACAGTCAGACCCAATTTACTAGAGCTGACCGTGCATGCTCCACTCCCAAACAGACAACACATGAATCGCGTGTGTACCCACTCGTAATGAAGCGAGGGCAGAGACGAACACACGATCCAAGGCTGTTTGCTCTCCATACTCCTGTCTAATATATATATATACATATATATATATATATATATATATATATATATATATATATATGCTTGTGGACAAACAACAATAAATAGACAGAGACAAGATCACACAGAGCGCTTGCTGAAGGCACAGAAGCTTGCGCGGTCTGTTTTCAGGTGTGCTTTATAGTTTCCTGGTCGATGACGTCACCCGCCTATGACGTCTCGTCTCTCCATTGGACTGATTATACACGTGCTTCACGACGCAATCACGCAGGGGCGTTCCCACCGCGTCTCGACGCAGCTCGAGTTCCCTTGAAAGGGAACTGTTCTTTCAATTTGTAATAATATTTCACAATATAAATGCTTTTACTGTATTTTTGTTTAAATAAATGCAGCCCTTGTAAACAGAAGAGACTTCTTTCAAATTATAAAATAAATAAATAATGTTTTCAAACATGACAGGTACTGTACAACACTCCCAAGAAAACATTTTGTTTTAATTTCAGAAAAGAAACAAATTAAGTAACACCTGGAAAATGAATTAGCAGAACATCACACAGTGATGTGGAAATCACTAACTAATAGTGAATAATTAACTAATACTTATATTTTTACAAGCTGTGAGTTTAACATTTGTATGTAATGTATTGCTTATTAGGAGTGACCGAGATTTTTATTTCTCACAGGAAAGAGGGTCACGCAGAAGACAAATTGGTGATGGTACCTCCACCCTCAGTAACAGACTGTCACCACACAGAAACTGTCTTCTCCTTCAATGACATCAAACACCAGTAAATGAGCTTTTATTTAATACATCATGCATAAATATAAGATCTCTGTAGACAAACATACCTTTATCTGTGATCTTCTTATGATATTTAGCAGTGAAGCAGAGCAAGAGGATCATATCAGACGACCAACAAAAGGTTTGACTGTTCAGTTTGAAACCCATGGGTTAATGAACAATTTTGTTCATTAATTGTCATTTTTTGGTCTTTTATTTGATCGAGTTGACTGAAATTGGTTGCCCTTATTACTTTTCCCTGTTTCTTCCTTCCTGTAACAGGTACCTTTGCACATGTCAAACCTAAGGAGCCCTTTCTTTTTTCCCGCTGGAGGCAGTACTGGTACGCTCCTGTCACTTCATTTATCGGCAACGTTCTGATGTACTTCCTGTTCCTGTTTCTGTACGCCTATGTGCTATTGGTCGACTTCAAGCCACCTCCCCCTTATGGTCCTGCCCCTTCGGAGTACGTGCTGTATTTCTGGGTTTTCACTATCTTGTGTGAGGAGATTCGAGAGGTAGGTGCCGACACGGATGCTTCACTTGTAAAAAATCAGCTTACAAGTGATCAGTGTTGGGGCAGTGTTTCCGCTACATTCATTCTGCCGTGGCGGGCCGCCACACCTAAAATCATCCCGCCACGGCTGCAGCTTCTCGGTCCGATATTGTATGTGTTATTGTTAAGCCCCACTAAAGGCATACAAAACATTGTAAAGCACCATAGAGTTTTCACACTATATTCCAAGACTTCTAAAGTCATTCAATAGCATAATGTGAGGTAAAAATTTATATTTAAGTCGTTAAGTTAAAGTTAATGGAAACTCATCTCTCCTCAGTCATTCTCCATTCAGCATTCAAACAGCACGTCACGTTCGGTTACGACAGTAACACGATGACTCTCTCTTCAAGATCAATGTTCCCATTATTATACTTTATTTGTAGATAAAGGTCTATGGTTTGCATAAAATCACTTTATCTTGCTGGAGTTTATAGCGCTTTCTAAATCATATTCCTTTCTCCCGGGTGTCTGTTACTACAGCACTAGATTAGAGAGCACTATGAATTGTTCTTCATGTGCACTGTAAGTTAACTGAAATTTAAAACTGTTAAAAGAAAAGGCTCAATAAACTGTTGCATAGATATAATACATTAAGCATAGATAGATATAATCTCTTCGCTTTGTGCTTTGAACTTTTCAATGCGAAGCGCTGCACGCTGTGACTTCACGTTGCTTCAAGTGCATCATTCTGCGCACGGGATGCGCATAATCGCTTTGCCGCTATTATTGGCGCCTTTCATGTTATAATGCTTAGGGGAGGTTTTAACACCTGGGATAAGGGGGCGTGGCCAATGGGAATATCACTCATGGGCCACGCCCCCTCCCCCTGGCGAAATGGGCCTGCCACCACGGCTGGAAAAAATCCTAGAGGAAACACTGTGGGGTTAACGGCATTAACTAATGCGAGTTATGTCATCAGATTACTTCTTTCATGTAACTAGTAAATAATGCGTTACTTTTAAATTTACAATAAAGATATTTTTTCAAATAAATAATTCAAGTTACTTTTGTTTTCCCATTTATTGAGTGACAGCTCTCTTGCCTTCAAGTTGGATAAGTGCAGAGGCTTTTTGTGCACAGTGTAAACATGATACTATAGTTTTTGAGTTTCATACATGTTATTGTAGTTCTAGACTACAGATATTCTCACATATCTGTGATTCTGTGATCCAGAATGGGCAGCACAGCTGAAAGGTTTGTTTTATGCTGCACCCTCTACTGTACAGGCTTGAATTTGCATTTCCTTCAGCCTGAGGCGATTCATTTGACTTCTGGTGTGAAAGTTCCTTCACTTTTGCAAAAAATAGAACTTTTTTTTTCTTGTTATTTAAAAACAAACAAGCGAGCTCATCCCAGGTGAGAAAAAGTAAATACATTTAATAATTAAAAGCTTTACTTTTCATAAGTAATTAAGTAATGCAATTAGTACTTTTTTAGGGAGTAACGCAATATTGCATAATATAATATAATATAATACAATGTAATTTATAATATAACATTACTTTTAAAAGTAACTTTCCCCAACACTGCAAGTGAAACAATAAGTTTTTCAGTTGAGTATAATGATTAATCCATCCATTTATTCTACTTTCTCCTGCTTTTCATTCCCAGGCGTTTACTCGGAGTTTGATGCTGTATGCTAAGGATGTGTGGAATAAGTGTGATGTTCTTGCCATCTCCCTCTTCATTGCTGGTCTGTGCTGCAGGTAATAGCCCTTAACGCCCGTTTCACACATACTCCGTGTGCAGTGCGTATGCGGTGCATATAGCTACGGTACAGGAGCAGCACGCGCTATAGTGCTTTCACATATGCTGTGTTTGCACTATGCAACTGATCCGCGGCTGTACCACAAAAACATTTGTGTTTCAAATCCAGAGGTTACCAGCAACTTTTATTTAAAAAAAGTTTTGTCACCAGTGCGATTCTCTTTGTACACATATACACTCTTTAATAGACGTTTAAACACAATTTGAACAACATATAGGCTATTCAATGCATTACTTCTATATAGAATATATATTAAGTTGCTCAAGCAAGTGGTAAAATTTAACCATGTACTTATATTAAAATCACAAACATTTTAAATTAAAACTTAAAATTGACAAGAACAGCAGACTCATACCTTTTTCATTTGCATAATTTAAATCTTTATAAATAAATCTTGCATGTCACAAAGAACTTGTTTTTCCACCTCCACGAATGAGATGAGTGTCGTTCATTATGTCGCCTTGTTGAAGTAAATTGTAGTTTTCCTTGCTTTACCCCGGTCTTAAAGTAAAAAGATGACTGTGAAAAATAGTGGTATTTAATTAAACGAGTATTGCACGCTACGGGTAAAGTCATCTTTTCTCGAGATATTGAAGCCAAAAATTATCCTTAATTTTTCATATATTGTCAACGCAGTGCAGCAGCCAGCAGACCTAGAGCAGGCTATCTTGCGTGCCCATTGGCTGCCCTGCGGCAACTGCTGCAGCCTACCACTGAGCCTTGCGCGTGATGCCACTTATACTTTAAGCGTGGATGGGGACCTGCCCTTATCCAACAGCTCTTGAAGGAAGCCAAGCAACCACGGGACCCCACATATTCGTGGGTCTAGATCTCTATCGGCACACCATTTGTAGAACACCGACCATTTAGACGTGTAAAGCCGCCTCGTAGAGGGAGCTCTGGATTGCGTAATCGTGTTCATCACTCCTTCTGGCAAGACAACGGGTATCCGTTGATTACCCATACATGCAGAGACCAGCGCTCTGGATGGGGATGCTAGATTGAGCCGCGGGCTTGACAGAGGAGGTCTCTCCTCACCGGAATCGGCCAAGCTACAGCGCTACAGCTGTGTGTGACAGCCGCATCAGCTCCGGGAACCAGATTTGGTTCTCCCATCGCGGGGCTATAAGGAGCACCGTGTGGCCCGTTTCCCTGATCCTCTTGATTACCTGTGGTAACAGAGAGACCGGAGGGAAAGCATAAAGAGGGAGGCTGGGCCAGGTTTTGGGCCAGCGCATCCTCGTTCTTTGAAAAGAACAGCAGGCAATGAGCATTGTCTTTTGATGCAAACAGGTCGACTTTCGCTTTGCCAAAAAGGCGCCACAGTAACTGGACTGTCTGGGGGTGCAGGGGCCATTCCGTGGTCCCTGGATAGCTTGTCTGGGCCGTCCCGTATGAATGGGAGGAAGCGCCTGAGCACGTTCTCGACCGCTATCATTTCCAGACAGTTTATGTGGAAACATCTCTCTTGTTCTGACCAGAGGCCAAAGACCGGTCTGCCCTCGAAGAGTGCGCCCCAACCTAGGTTGGAGGCATCCGTCGAGATGACCTTTCGGTACGAGACAGCTCCCATTGTCACACCCCGCTGATACAAGTCAGCCGCTAACCAAGGCTGCAGAGCCAAAACGCAGCTCTGAGTCACTCTGATCCGGCTGCGACCTGAAGCCCAAGCCTGGTGAGGCACTCGGGCGTTCAGCCAGCGCTGTAGCCGGCGCATGCGCAGCAGGCCCAGCTGAAGCACAGCCGAGGCCCGATGCCATACAGCCCAGCATTCTCTGGAATGTTTTTAGAGAAGCGCTGCTGCCCTCCTGGAAAGATGCGGCCAGGTGTCGAACACGGCGCGCACGCTGTGTCGATAAACGGGCCGTCATAGCCACAGAGTCCAGTTCTATTCCTAGAAAGGAAACTGACTGACTGGGCAGTAATGAGCTCTTGGTCCAGTTGACCGAGAGACCCAGGCTTTCCAGATGACTGAGAAGAACAGTTCTGTGAGATTACAGTTCCATCTCTGACTGCGCTAGAATCAGTCAATCGTCCAAATAGTTCAGAATTCGCAGCCCTTTTTCTCTCAAGGGGGTGAGAGCCGCGTCCATGCATTTCGTAAATGTACGGGGTGCCAAAGACAGGCCGAACGGGAGGACGGTGTATTGATATGCCCGACCGTTGAAGGCGAATCTCAAGAATGGCCTGTGACGGGGGACTATCTGAATCTGAAAGTATGCATCTTTCAGATCGAGAGAAATAAACCAGTCTCTCGGGCGAATTTGCGTGAGAATTTGTCTGGTCGTGAGCATTTTGAACGGCCGTCTCATGAGAGCTTTGTTCAAATATCTCAGATCTAAGATAGGTCTTAGAGCTCCGTCCTTCTTGGGTACGAGAAAATAGCGGCTGTAAAAGCCTGACTCACTCAGAGAAGGAGGTACTGGTTCTACGGCCCCTTTGCACAGCAGTGTGGCTATTTCTGCGCGGAGTAGATGTGCTACATCCGCTTTCACTTTCGTCTCGGTCCGTACTCGAAAGCGAGGGGGATGGCGAGCGAAGTGAAGCGAATAGCCCTGACTTATAGTGCTCAGCACCCATTCTGACACTCCTGGAATAGCCTCCCATGCTTTTACATGTATAGCTAGGGGCAGAATGGACTCCGGGTTCTGATCGCCGCTCATCGCGGGCTCGTGAAACTGAACCGGAGGTGTGTGCGAGGCGCTCGCGCCCTCGGATGTCAGGAACGGCGGCTCGCTGACAGCGGAGACTGTATCACTTGTGATGACCCGACTACTTGGAATGGGGAACATTTTGTGATGATATTTTGTGCGAGCGGAGCCTGGGGTAAAGAATTTGTCAGTAAGCGTGAGCGCTCGCGGGCGGGCAAGTGACTTACATTCATAACTCGGCCGCTGTGAGGCTGTTGCCGTGTAACAGAGCAGGCAGCGAGTAGGTGTGAGCACAATTCTATGGGCACATTCTCTGCATCTATCACTCGAGCGGCTTCTGCCAGCTTTATGAGAGTGGGCTCTTTTGGGTGTGTGAGACACGTGGGGCACCGTGTTTGTGTAGGGGTGAGCACTGCTTTTTGGGCACTTTTTCTACTCTTAAAACACCATCGGCGTGAGCCGGTTTGCCAGAAATTATACTCTTTTTGAGATTTCTCTGGGTTGCCGGCGGTTGTGTGCAGGCTTCTCTGAGGGGACTGACAGGACGAGATATTTCGACGGCGGTCCGGCCGCATCGAGACCCAGCCGTCTTTTCCTCTCTGCTGTAGCTAGGAGGGCTTCGCATGCTCGGGCTTCAGCGCAATCCTGGGCCGGGGTGGACGGCTGTACGAGCGTGATCTAGGGCGGCCACCCTGTCGTCGCTGCGAAGGACAGGAGGCGCAAGAGCTCAGCGTCCACGCTAGCCCGAGTCCTGCTGGATTCCTGGATCGAGGAGGAGGCGGAGTGATGAGAACTCGACAACTCTTCACTGTCTGATGCCAGGATGGAAGAGCTGTCACTGAGGTCCTTCAGCTTCGTCCCATGAGGCGGCAGTGTCGAAGCCGACATCTCCGCGTCCGGGAGGGGCGGAGAAGGAGAGAGAGAGGCTGGCGGGATGAAGTCCGGCGAGCCCTTCACAGTGACCTCAGGCTCCGGTATCCTCTGCGAACGGGGCTTCTTCTTGCGCGGTCCGGAGGGCGGAGTGACAGCGGCCGTGGTGAAGGCTTTGAGTCGAGCCCGCAGGGTCGACAACGGAAGCGCTTCACAGTGTACGCAGCCTCCCGAATCCAGGGCGAGGGCTGCGTGGTCTGGGCCCAGGCAGAGAGCGCAAATCACATGGCGGTCTCCGGCGCTGAGCGGGGCTCTGCACGAGCCACAGGAAAGGCGAGGCATTTTTATAAAAACGCTTGCGCTCTTTTAGAGAAGAGTGAGCGTCGCGGCGTCGAAGACTCACAGTAAAAGCACTAAACAAAAGGATACTCGACGCCGGATGGCGTAGCAGGCACGGAAGGCTGAAGACGGCCGGCTTCTTCAGGCCCTGTCCTCTGCGTGCTGGTCGCTAGTTTTGACGGCGGATGGCTTCTCTCAAAGTCCAGCGATGCGTAGAGCTTCGCTGAAGATGATGAAATCAGTGAGGCAGCCCACCCCCCCTTCTGGCGGGCTGTGACGCGTAGTGGGCGCGACGTCACGCGCAAGGCTCAGTGGTAGGCTGCAGCAATTGCCGCAGGGCAGCCAATGGGCACACAAGATAGCCTGTTCTAGGTCTGCTGGCTGCTGCACTGCGTTGACAATATATGAAAAATTAAGGATAATTTTTGGCTTCAATATCTCGAGAAAAGATGTCTTTACCTGTAGCGTAAGCAACTTACGCAATACGAGAGGTTCATTTAATTTAATTAAATGCATTTATGATTAAATTACTAAATTTTCATGTCAATTTGTGTTCATTTTGACCACGAACTATGCGCTGTCACTTTAATTCAGCGCGTGCAGCACAGCATAAATAGACTCGGTGCGTAAACGATCTCTGCACTGCTGTATACGCACCGCACCTGGGACGGATCGCCGGGCCGCATCTGCGTGCAGTGTGAAAGCTCTAACCTGTTAACATGGGTACGGAAAAAAATATGCACCGTATACGCACTGCAAACGAGTATGTGTGAAATGGGCGTGACAGTCCTGCAAGTTTTCATAAAAAATATTTATCAGCAAAAAAGTTTTTAACATGATTAAAAATAAGAAATGTTTTTTTGAGCAGCAAATCAGCATATTAGAGTGATTTCTGCAGGATCATGCGACACTGTAGACTGGAGTAATGATGTTGAAAATTCAGCTTTGATTATGTTATAAATTGTTAAAAATTACATAAAACTTTGTATCACATACTCACAAAGAGTTTAGCACAACTATTTACACACACACACACACACACACATATTTTTGGAGGATGTGTAATAGTAAAAAAAAATATATTTAAATAGAAAAGTTATTTTAAATTGTAAATCATATTTCACAATATCACTGTTTTTTTTACTGTTTTTAATCAAATATACAAAGCCTGCACATATATATATACTGTATATACAGTAATATTTTAACATACTTTTTTTAATAGACCTTTCCTTTTTATATTTTAAAAACACATGATACATGAAGACTTTTGAAGTATTGCAGACTCTAGTAGCAGGCTATGGTGTCACAATTTAGCAGTTATTGTTTACTAAATATTCATCATACCTTCTACTACATGTTTGTGTAATCATCTGTATATGTGTGCCTTTGTGTCTGTCTCAGGATGTTCAAATCGTCATACAGCATGGGACGTGGTATACTGTGTATTGACTACATGGTCTTCACACTCCGACTCATTCACATTTTCGCTGTTCATAAACAGCTGGGTCCCAAAATCATCATACTTGTCAAAATGGTGAGACAAACAGAAGCATTTTGTACGGTTCTGCCTAAAGAGGTAAAAGGACGATTTAGACTTTTAAAACTTTACAGCTCTGTTAAAATGTTTGGTATTATGGTACACGTGTTCACTATTTACTCAATGCTTATTAGCATGCATATATCTAGCATATTGGCTGTTCATTCATACTTATAAAGCACAAATTAACCCTTTAAGTTAATAAGCCGGCGCTCCCGTTTGCGTGTGTCTGTTTATAAGCCTATAGAAACTGAAACCAAATTGCTAGCTCAATCATTCTTTTTGCATACAAAACCAGAGATGTAACATGTTCAGATCAAGCCTCCAACATGCCCATGTTGCGTTGTTTTCACCCTCTAATCAGTCTGTACAAACTGCGTAATATGCGTTTACAAAAAAAAACACAAAAATGCATTGCACGTCTTTGCACACATGTTCTGTAGATCTGCGATTGATAGTTACGTCTTCCGATGGCTCATTGACGTATCACGTTCTGTGCACTATGACCCCCGGGTGTGTCGCATGTTGTGACGTCACAAGCTGCGTCATTTGACCCAAGGGGCTAATCCATCAGCCGGAAGTTGAAGCTGCCTCCGGGGGCCGCCATTGTAGCTGGCTATCACCTGCTGTTAGCATCCCATTGACTCCCATTCATTTTGGCGTCACTTTGACAGCGAATAACTTTACATCTGAAGTGTCCAAAGACTCCATTTGTCCATTATTTATTTCTAAAGAAACACGACAATGTATAAAAGGCTCCATTACTTTGTATCTTACGTTATGGCCCCGTAGAAGCCATTCTTGTAAAAATAGGCTAACGATTGCGTCATAACCACGGGACGCTCTGTCGCACAGTCGAGAAATTACCGTATAGACAGAAGTAGAAGCTCGTGGGGAATCGTTTACTGTCTATGAGGCAATCGGGTGGACATGGAGGCATAAAGTCAATGGAGAAGCCCATAGATAGAGAGTTCATAAAAGCAACGGGACAAAATATTTCAACAACAGATTTGTTTCAGATTTCAATTTAGATTTGTCCCGGCACAGCTACTAGAAGGTCAGTACGGTTGCTCACGTGACAACTACGTCGTCAAGCTCAGTTTGAGCCTGCGCAGTGCGCTTGGCTATCAGGAAGTGAGTGCCCATGTTGGGCTTCAACTCTCTCCATTGAAATCAACGGGGTCGCTGTGTCCATTTCTTTTACTGCCTATGATTTGACCATGCGTTTGACTCGCGTGATTTTTTTTCCCCAAACCACTTCAGCGGAAATCCCGCCCTGCAGCCAATTCTGAAGTTTTCATTGGTCATGTCAATCACTGTACAGATTGCCTACACCAAACACTGATCCCTAAACCTACCCGTCACTGTAACCTAAACCAATAAAATCGGCTGCAGGGCGGGATTTCCGCTAAAGTGGTTTGGGGGAAAAAAAATCACAAGTTTGACTCCCATTTGCTATATGTTCCTTCTTATCGTTATTGTCTTTTTACCATTGCTTTATTTTATCATTTCTTTCTCCTTTAGACACTCACAAATACAAGCACATTCACACACACACACACACACGCGCGTGCGCGCACGCACGCAACGTTATGTCTAAACGAAAGTACACGGACGCGGAGGTTTTGGAAATACTAATTGCGTCCGATGACGATGAACTATACGTCTGCTCATCTATTTATTTTATATTTTAACCAATTCAATGTTCAATCAAAATTCAAAAGCAAAATGTTATCTGTTTGACCACAAATGTAATTGAATATTTTACATGGCATTTCCCCTCCCTTTTTTTGAATGAGTGTAAAAATGAGTGTATCTTAACTAATTTATGTAAACAGTTCAAATCAATTCTGTATAGTTTTAAATTGTTTTATGCACGTTTTTCACATTGACAAGTTTGAGGTTGACATTTATCCATTTTTTTTATTGAATATAATATGTAAAAAATAAATAATTAAAATAGTTTTTCTTTTTGTTTATTGCACTTTTGAGATATTTATCTAGTTACTATTGATTTTTTACAAACATAGCCTTCAAATTGGGAGAGTAAGGATTATTTTGATGTATGGCATATGAAAATGCTCAAAAGAATGACAGCACAGCATGTATAAATACAAAGATATACTCTGGTGGAATTGTTCTATGGCAGGTCATAAAGGGTTAATGAATTATCCTGCATGACCATATTCTACAACTAATAGACCATTAACATAGTTTTCATATAATAATGTGCTAGTAATATTAATAGTGAATATGTGTACCTTAATATAAAGTGTTATATTATTGTTATACCATGATTTTTGTTTGATATTAGGAATTGAGGGACAAGTTGAAATTATGTTCTGTGGTAATCAACATTATCTCACAGATTCTATCTATAGAGTTGAAAATGGTTTAATTGATCATTAATTCTGTGCAATAAACGTCTTTATTGACTACATTAGATACTAAAATTCCATTGTGTGTCAAACATATTCCAGATATAAAAAAAAAAAAAAAAATTCAATACTTGAAAAATACTTCTGAACCACAGATAAAGGATGCGCTCTTCTTCTTATTCTTCCTGGCGGTGTGGCTGAGTGCGTATGGAGTGGCCAATCAAGCTCTACTATATACATACGATCCAAGCCCTACCAGAGCGTTTCGTCGAGTATTGTACAGACCATATTTGTATATATTTGGACACATGCCTTTGGAAGAAATAGACAGTATGCTCACTTCTGATTTACACTTCACTTTACAATTAAGTTTTTGTTAGCATCCACTAACTATATTGTATATTTGTGTGTGTTAAGCTGGCGAGTATTGGGATAGGGACTGCACAGATAATGTCACATTGATTGATGAAGGGAAAGAGCCATGTAGAGACACCAGCCACAACTGGCTTGTGGTCATTTTGCTGGTCATCTTCCTACTGGTCACCAACATCCTACTTATCAACCTGCTTATTGCCATATTCAGGTATTCTTTTTCTGTTCATTCATTCATCTGGTGTATGTAGCCATCAAATGATCCATCCATCCATGTATTTCTCTTCTCCTTGTGTCTGTTTGTGCAGCTATACATTCACTAAGGTTCAGGAGCGCAGTGACACATACTGGAAGTTTCAGCGCTATAATCTAATAGTGGAATATCATTCTCGTCCAAATCTCGCTCCACCCTTCATCATCCTCTCCCACATCAACCTCTTCATCAAAAGAAACCTCTGCAAAATGCCATCCACCAAAATCCACCATTTTGGTAAATTATTGTAAACATTCGCACAAAACATGTTATAATCAAACTAAACATGCCTAGTGTGACCCGAAACCCCTGGGCCGGGGTGGACGGCTGTACGAGCCCCCCCCCCCCCCCCATTTGATTATAGTTCAAAAAGCAGATTTTAAAAAAGATGACGTAATGTAAATGTTTGTGTGAATTTGTCTCTCTTTAATAGCCGTTCATTTGAAGGGTAGAGAGGCTAACAAGCTGGTGAAATGGGAGACCTTGCAGAAGGAGAACTACCTGGCTCTCGAGAGCAAAAAACAAAAAGGGACCGACTCTGAGAGGCTGAAACGCATGAATGCTAAGTGAGTCCAACTTGCATTAAAAATAACATTTTCCTGTATAGACGTACTCTTTCAACTTTCTCACAAGTCTTTCACAATGTGGATAAAGAGGGGGTGAAACATGTCTCAAACTAAATGATGGTTGTTTTTGGTTGCAAAAAAAGTGTTTAAAAGCATCAACAATCTTAGGCCCCGTCCACACTACTGCGTTTTTGTTTAAAAACGGAGACCTTTTGCTACGTTTGCACCTCCCGTCCACACTAAAACGGCAAAAACGGAGACCCAAAACGGAGAAGTTTAGAAACGCTGCCGATCCGTTTTTCGTTTTGAATCTCCGGAGGGCGTTTTAGTGTAGACGGGTAAAAACGGAGGACTTTAGAAACGATGACGTAGTAGAGGCTCACGCTCGGCTCTATGATTGGGTGTCATCAGTCATGGCGTATATCTTTGCTAGCAGCTGTTGTACAAGTAAATTCTGCATTTTACAACACTATAACTGCCTACATGCGCCGGAGTCAAGCTGTTATTCGAGCGATCTGTGACAATTCCTGCGTGCAGCGGCGGCGTTGACCGTACATGGAGCCTCGGTTTGGGGTTAACCCAGAGCATGGTGGGATAATTTTATCAATGAAGTTGTGTTTACACCGGCACGCGCATGCCCAGTGTTGGTGAATGGTCACGTGATCCGCGTTTTCAGTCGTTTTAATGTGGACGGAGATCAATTCTAATACGCAGCTAAAACGCTGGTGTGGACGGAGATCGTATTCGTTTTAATTATCCGTTTCTAAACTAAAACGCAGTAGTGTGGATGGGGCCTTAGCGTTACAATATACTGCCAGTGTCCCGTTGGAAAAGAGAAATTACATCCATAAACATGGGTCTCTTAAATGCACGTTCTATATCAAACAAGGCTTTTATTTTGAATTACTTTTTAACATCGTGTTCGTTGGACTTGGTTGAATCCTGGCGATCAGATGGCTCTGGGTGAGTTGACACCACCAGGCTGTGACTTTTTGAACCCCTCGGACCACAGGACCAGGAGGTGGTGTTTCCACTGTTTTCCGAGACACTTTTAAATGCAGATTACTATCCATAGAAATCTATTCGAGCTTCGAGGTACAGTTACTAAAGATTGATACTCTGGATATTTTTTTCTGTGTTTTGATATATAGACCTCCTAAACTGAATAAGGCTCGATTCACATATAGCGCCTAAAAACGCGTAGAAAACGCTGGCCGTGCCACGTTCTCCTTTTTCCAAATCGCTAGGGCGGTTGCGCTCCGGTTGGTTCTTGTCACGTGCACCTACGGTGCGCTTATGGTGCGCTTGCGGCATTCTGAAAAGTTGAGATTTTTTTATCTCGATGCGGCACGGACGCGCTTGGAAAAAACGAGCTTCCATTATGAGCGCGCATACCGCACGCCTACATTTGAAATAATGAACTTGAGCGCGCAAAAGACGCGATATGTGAACAGGCCCTAAGGATTTCATTCAGCATTTTTCTGATTTTCTCTCTGAATTGGTGTCTTGCTGTGATAAACTTTTGGGCCTATGGGATTATAATGTTCATTTATGCTGCCCATCAAAGCCATTGGTTAATAAATTTCTTTCTCTTATCGAGTCTTTTAATTTCACACAACTCATAAGAAAGGTCATACACTAGATCTTGTGTTATCATTTGGTATTTCTGTATCTAATTTGGTGGTTTCAGATGAAAGCATTTCATAACATTATTCAGTGGTATTCGATGTTGTTTGTTCTTATATGCATTCAACCTCTTCTCAGCCTTAACATTATGCTAGGTCCATCAATTCTTCAACTGCAAAACCTTTTTCTGAATTTTATTTATCAAATGTTACAGACAACCGGGAACACTTCCCATAAATCCTGATGTACTCGTTACATCATAAGAAGAATGGCATCTACGCTAATATTAGTCTCTCTGTTTATCCCAAGTTTACCGCAGTCCGCCAGATCCAGGCCATATCCAGATCTGATGAAGGACCTGCGCATGGACGCGACAACAACACAGTCCTGAAGTGTCACTAGTCCCTCCCGGTGAAGGCCTCCTTCCCTTTACCTCTGTACAGATAATTGTTGTCGGGATAATTCCGGTTCACAAGGCTACGCCGAAGCGCTAAAATTCTGTATAATAAATTTTAAGGCCAGACAAGTAGTTCGTTGAGGGTTGGTTTTTTTAGGGAAGGACTGCGTGCCTGCGCACATATATTCAAATGCGCATACGTATAGAATTAACTCTTAATGCGCATGTGCAGCACGCCATCAGCGTTCTCACAGGTTTGCGTTTTTACTGTTTGCGTAGAGAGAACTTAAGAGTTTTCTGTTAAAATGGTGTTGTGTCAGCGGCCCCTAAGTTAATAACTAATGATCGTTGCGACGGAAGTGAATCAATTAAAACTAACTTTAGCTGGAAAATAACTTTATTCTAGAGCTGTCATGAAGCCAAAACAATCTCCGTTACTTTAATTTCCTATTATCACTGTAAAGCAGCTTTGTAACAATCTACATTGTTAAAAGCGCTATATAAATTAAGATGACTTGACTTTACTTGACAAAGTCGTAGGTGGAGAGGACACTGAAGTGCTGGTTGAGGTTTTTACTAAGTCATGTACTCTTGCCTTAGATTATGTTGCCCCTCTTAAATGAAAGAAGTTCATAAGGGAACTTCTCAACCTTGGCTAAGCAATGTTACCTGCTCTCTTAGACAAGAGTGCAGAAAAGCTGAACGGAAGTGGAGGAGAGAAACTTCAGGTTTCGTTTGAGATGTTAAAAGAGTCCCTGGCTAACTATCAGAAGTAGTAAAGGATGAAAAAATTTAAATTTTCTCCAAGGTAATTTCAGATAATGCAAAGCGGCCAAAAGTAATGTTTGAGATACCGTATTTTCCGCACTATAAGGCGCACTTTAAAGCCTTTAATTTTCTCAAAAAACGTCAGTGCGCCTTATAATGCGGAGCGGCTTATATATGGATGGTGAACACACGTTCACCAAGACGCGGAGATAGCGCCGGCCGACTTACGCCACTATCTGGCAATGGATCGTGGATGCCTGGGCTGATATATCAGTCTCCTGTGATCCGAGCTTTCACGAAGGCTGCAGGCAGGAATAATCTCTTTATTCAGCCAGCTCACATACCCGTATTTACTTCCTGTTTTCGGCCGAAGTCCACAGTAGTTGATTGTCGAGTTCGCGCGCGCGCGATCAAACCTCCTCCACGTGTTCAACATCTGATTCGGATGAACTATCCGAATCCGAACTATCCATTTGAGCTGATATTCTCACATAGAGAACACCACACAGCACCGTCATCGGCTGACAGTCTGAGTCTCCACTGTTGCTTAGTTACCAATGATCGCGCGCGCGAACTCGACAATCGCCTACTGTGGACTTCGACCGAAAACAGGAAGAAAATACGGGTATGTGAGCTGGCTGAATAAACATAATTTTTATTCATTATCTTTCACATTTACTGGAGTCAGATTCACTGTGTTCACTCACATGGCTGTGCACTTGTAATGACACATTAAGGTTGTTAAGAGGCTAAAAGCAGGTTTAAAACTTTTCCCGTTTAAGTCAACAGGGTGCAAATTTTAAAAAGAGGATAACACGGTGTAGGCAACACCGGTTTTTGTCGTTGTTATCTGTACTGACAGCACTCCAAATTTACAAAAAAATGAGCTCAATGTTAAAATTGACCGGAGTTTTCCTTTAACGTTTGAACAACGTTACCATGGGAGTGAACGGAGTTGTCAGAGCGCTTAATAAAGTTTGACTTTATCTGACTGTTTTGTTGACATTTGTTGACATCTAGTGGATGCATAACGCAAACCCAGTCAAACGTTTGACTGCAGTATCTTATGCGCCTTATAATTCGGTGCGCCCTATATATGAAAAATTTTCTAAAATAGGTCATTCATTGAAGGTGCGCCTTATAATCCGGTGCGCCGTATAGTTTGGAAAATACGGTAATTGATTCTATTTTAAACCCCTCAAGGAATGTTATGAGAGATGCCACACAAGAGAGTTTTTATTATTTTTTACTCAAAAAATGAAGTGCAATTGTACCTTCACATTCCTGTTCATCAATCAATCCTGCGCTGTCTAACATTTTCACTAACTTTGAACCAGTTTCATCAGCGCAGCTGGCAGATATTGTCTTGAAAATGAATGGAGGTAGCTGCAGACTGGATATTCTCCCTACTCGTCTTTTTAAAGATGTTTGTCTTACTGTGAGTCCTAGCCTAACAGCTATAATTAACAGCTCCTTGATGAGTGGAGTAGTACCAAACAGTTTCAAACATGCAATTCTTCATCCCTAGTTAAAAAAAACTAATTCGGATCATAGAGTATATAACAACTATAGACCTATTTCTAAACTGCCTTTTATCTCCGAGATTGTAGAGAAAGTGGTCTACTCACAGCTATATTCATATTTGAATACTTTTGATATTTTAGACACATTCCAGTCTGGCTTTAGGACCTGTCACAGCACAGAATCTGCATTGCTCAAGGTCACTAATTATATATTATTATCGTTGGACTCAGGATCACGTTGTTCTAGTTTTATTGGATCTAAGCGCTGCCTTCGATACGATTGACCATGCGATTCTTCTCAACTGTCTGTAGTGTTGGGTTGGTGTCCAGGGTACAGGCCTTCAGTGGTTTGCCTCATATTTAAAAGACAGTATAGTTGCTGTGAATCTGGGAGACTTTTCTTCCACATTGTTCCCCTTTAGTTTTTGGTCTTCCTCAGGGGTCGATTTCGGGACCATTGCTGTTCTCTCTGTATATGCTTCCTCTAAGCACTATTTTTCGGAAGTATAGTATTGCATACCACTGTTATGCTCATGATCTCTTAGATACTGTAATACCTGTTTGCTGAACAAAGTACAGGAATGTTACAGTAAGATTAAACTTTCTCTAATTAAATGAGAGTAAAACTGAGGTTTTGATTGTAGGTTCTCCCATCTCACCTACCTTTCCTGATCATTTAGTTTCCTTGTC